CTGGGTCAGCCTGGAGATACCTACACAGACAGACACAACTTTAATAGAGCCAAATCTTTTCAAAACAGACTCGGCCAACTTGAAATGGCCAGTGTCTTCCATACACAATTATTTAACATACATGGGAGGGGTGTTGGTGGTGGAGATGAGTTCATCCTTTAGTCTGATCAACTCTCGGAGTTTTGGGTATTCTTCGAATCTGTCAGCCAAACCTTAACCAGATAAGACACAGAGGTGAAACCCACACACAAGAATGCACATGTACATTAACACACACACACACACACACACACACACACACACACACACACTTACCAACATCTCTAATGAAGTTTTGTGGTCTGTGACCTGTGTCCACAAAGTGCTGACAGTAGTCATTGTGAGGGTTCAAACTCTGGGTACCCTGAGAATAAATGAATGAATGAAGATTAATAAGATGATATTTGCATAAAAAGAGACAAAAATTGGATGTCTGTGTATTTTAAAATACATTTGATGCATGATATTGGAATCGCCTCATAGAAACTGCAAGTTCTAATACGATTTCCACAATATTTCCAAATTAAACTCATGAGGTAAATTGTTTTCTAAATAAATGTCAGATAAAGGATGGTAATCCCTCTGCTTAAATAAATAATGACACCAGGGCTGATTTTTTAAATCACTAATTTGCATTCTATACACACACTTTCCACTAATAAAAGTAGAGTGTGTTTATTGTAATTACATGTCTGTGTGTGCTTTGTGACTGAAACTTTTAGTTTTAGCTTTTAGCCATTGCTGTTTGTTACAATGAATAGTTTCCTTATAGTGAAATCAAAGACCCTGCTACTGTGCATCACTTAACTGGTTCTAACCTGTAATTACAGGCTGTGAAACTCAATACACTGACATTCCATAAGTTTAAAGGATGACTTGTTTGCCTCACTGTTACATTGTTGACCACCTGATAATGACGCAGAAGCATTTTTATCTAACAACTGGGACTGTTTTTTATGTGAGCCAAATGTTACAGGTGCCCTTATGGCATCTGGCCATCAAGTACTTTCAAAACATTTTAAAAATGTGGATAAACCTAGACTTCAGTTGATTTGGTAATGCTTGTGACAGTTGGCAGTTATGCCACAATCAAGAATTGCATGTACATTGCACGTCAGATAAATCACTGTTTCATTAAGTTCCTGTTGAAGAAATGCTTTGAGTTTCCAGGCACTACAGCTCAATCTGCCTGTGAAATGTATCTATTAATCAGGCTCTTCTTCCTGCTACTCTCCTAAAAATGTCATCAGTGTTATCCCTGCTACTGTAGATTGCCTATAAGGTCTTGGCAAACAACTGGTAAAATAAAACAATACCATATAGCTGCTTTCTGCACTCAGGAAACTAGTTTATTTACCTCAGTAAAGCAATGAAAACCAACTTAAATTGCTTTCTAATTAACACTTCAAAATAAAACACTGTATGTCAGGCTACAGAAACATAATTTGTGAGGCAAGGTATAAAAGAAACTTTGACCAACCTTAAGGAAAGTACTTGAGTCCTTGTACACTTCCTCATATGGGTTGCTTTCTTCCGGCTGCTGCACCTCCACCTCATCCTAATACACATACACCCAAAAACAACCATAATGAGATTCATATTTTTGTCTATGAACAGAACCTTTACCTGCATGTGAGGGGTGAGTGAAATCACAATAATGAATAAATGGAGAAGTTAGGATAACAAATAAAATAAGGTAGATTAAGGAAATACACCAGTGTATCAGTCAAGATTTTCATTTTTAAATCAGTCACCCAGAAAACAAAGAGTAAGCAGGCACATTGTGAACCCCCTTATTTTGCCCATGTGTCATATTGACCACAAAGTCATCCACAAGTAGACCTCATATTTCACACACTATACTAAAATATTTAAAATTGCACTCTGAGTTTGTCCACCTCTGGTTATTTAAGTTTTTATAATGTCTGACCAAATGGAGCATAGCCACACACACTGACTTGTAGAGAGGACATTACCAAGGACAATATCCTATAGATTCATCTCATTCTTTGATTAATCTTTGGAACAAATAATTAAAAACAATACATAACTCAATACTCTTAAGACTACTTTGAAAAGAGTCAACTAATAGTATAAGTTCCTCAGGCAAGGGGCATTTTAAATGGCCAGACCAGGAGGGACCACGCCTTTGCTTTGAGCGGCCTGAGGATCAGGAACAACCTGTCTGAGAAGATGCGGTTTGTTCAGTCAGTGTTATCTTTTCAATACTCCCTCATACATACTTACTCAACATGGGCTATGGAAATCAGATTGATTATCATTACATTCAATGGGACGGGGGCATCTTTAACAGATGTAGATTCATAATACTATGGTGTAATTACACTCACCTTTTGTTCCTCCACATCTTCCTCTGTGTCCTCTCCTTCTGTCTGTGCCTTCCTTTTAGAAGGCAGGGCTGAACTATCAAATGAAGCCCTGCAAAATACAAATTAGCTGAACACATTTTCTAGATCTGATGTTTCTCTTAAAGCACAAGATCAACATTTTGGCACTGACAATGATGAGACAAAACTGGGAAGCATGATGGACTAAATGTTTGCAGAAAAGATGTTAAAGAAGAAAGGAGGGAAGCTATGGACCATGGAAAAATCTGTGAATTTAAAATGCTAAATATGAAAGACGCAGCTTAAAAGGTATAAAACTCATAAAAGGCTTCGACTGTCGTTTTGTGTTCTTCATGCCATTAAGCCCCCTGTATTTGTGCATACACTGAGCATATCAAATGCTCTTCTTATTTTGCTTTCAGCTGCACCCCTCATTTCTTCTGTTATTTGTGACATGTTTGAAGAGCCCTCCAAGACAGCTCACCTGCATGTTTCTCTTGTCTCCTCGATCTCCTTTAGTTCATCCTTACTGTTTAGGACAGCGCCAATGCTGTCTGCGCTTTCAGCTCCCAACTGTGGATAGACATGAATGAGCACATAACTGTAGACTCTTATTTTCTACTTCTGGAATTTTCTCAATTAATTATATGAAGCATGTCGTGCATATTTATTTAAACATTAGGTTCATGACAGAGTATATGCATTTAATCATGCTCAACATTTTCTGTTTAGCACATCGTTTGCATATACTCACTTAGCCATGGTATATTTTCAATTTCTGTGCACCAAACTGTCTAAAACAGCTTCAACATGTTGATTTGATTCATTTGCATTTCCAGTTAAGTTATTTGCGTTTTGGGTCCACTCGAGGGCGACCAATGTAAATGTTTGGAAGAGGTCTGTAAGCGAAGTTATCACCTAGATATCAACATTTACGTGACTCGTTGTCTCTTTGTCCTTGTTCACTACACAGTCGAAAACGCGTTTTCTACACAACAATAACATTTTGTTATCTAGCAGTCGGTTAGTACTGCTTAACTGCTTGTAGATTAGCTACTTGCTAACAACAATAACAACAAAACTTGCCTGTTGAGCTAAAAGCTGCCGCCTAAGTTTTTGTCGCTCTCGGATCTCTTGCAGTCGACTGTTCATTTCTTCTCTTGTAATGTTTACTAAGTAAGTATTAAATGCCGTCGGTCGTTATTAACAAAACCGTCCATATAGTTATGATTAGCTTACTATAACGGTAGCCAACAATTCGCTAATGTGTAACAGCCGCTAAAAAAACTAATGGGTGCACTCGTTTTGAATACCGGGGCGGTCGGTCTGGATTTGGCGCTTGGTGAAGGCGGGGGTAGCTACTAAAGTAGAGTGTTAAAGACACTTAGTTGCAACTGTTCAACTGCCTTTGTCATTTCCATCTAAACCGAGGCGCGACGGTCTTGGTAGTCCGACTGGAGCCGTTCACCGAGCGTAGGGATCGATTTATCGAGTGCTGACACCGCCTAATGGGTGTGTATTGGCGCACACGGGTAATAAAGTTAAACAAACACGTTTGTGATTAAATGGGCGCCGCATGATGATGTCACCAGACAGGACACTTTAGTTTGACGTTTCCATTTTTCCTTGTCCAATCAGAGACTACTTTATTGTAGCCACTAGAAGCGCTGTGTAGTTCATCTGCATCCACGAGCTCTCTCTTTTGTGCACACAAACACACACATACACACACACACACACACACAATAATAATCATCTCTTAACATATTTTAGTCTGTCTGTCGTCACATACACGCATTGGAAGAATGACATGGAGAGAGCGAGTGCATTGATATTTAATCATACAGGCTACTGTTCTATAACAAACTGCATCCTTTTAAACTTCACTTATGTGACGCCAAACGGAAGATCCTGTTAAGATCTCCACTCATACTAAGACCTACTATGTTGTATAATTATCAATCACCGTAAGAGTATGATAAGAATAAATCGAAGAAGTTGCGTGGGTTAGCGCGTGGGTAAGGGAGGATGGGTAAGGAAAGTGTGTAAAATGATGACCATCGTCATTTTAAATAAAGCAAAGTAAAAGCCTTAATAAAACCAACTTTTGAGAAAAACCAACAGTATAAGTCTAGTCAAAGCGTTTTGGTTATGGCCATGTTTCAGGAATAAGCCATATTTCAAAGGTATGGTAAGGATAGGGATTACTAGCTACCTATATATCTGGAATTATAGCCTATCTACTATTTCATTGTATAGTAATATAATAGTATAATAGTAATATATATATATATATTGTCCCTGTAAATTTGCCGTAATCTACATAGAAATGCGTTGATATTATTGATATAAAATTACCATAAACTATAAAATTAAATGGTGTAAAATCGGGGGGAAGTACTCCGCACTTATAGCTCATGATATTAAATTTTCGTTAGGGGGCTGCCTGTCCGACGCACATAGGACTTTCATTGATCCGCGTTGTTCCTTTCTCGGTTCTCACTCTCGTCCCACAGCAGGGCGATGAGGCTGACTGGAAACCGTCTCCTCAGCTGATGATAGAAGCTACTGAAATCTCTCCCGTCATCGGCTGCTTACAGTCAGAGACCTAACATGAATTTGGCATTTCTTGCTCTAACAGTCGCGATTAGCGGCTGCTGTTATTCCAGCAGCGTGCCTTCATTCATCCTGCCGTTCACCGACTGCGTCCAGAGCCGTGGGAAAGACGGTTTTTACCGGGGAGCGATAGACGTCACCGAGTCCGGCGCCCGGTGCATGAACTGGACCGAGGTGGCCGGCTTCAAGGAGCGCTACCCGGGCAAAGGAATAGGAGAGCACAATCACTGTCGCAACCCGGACGGCAGGATCCGACCCTGGTGCTTTTTCAAGAACCACAGAGGCAGAGTGGACTGGGGGTACTGCGACTGTAAACAAGGTAAACACGCAGGCCTATTGACCAGCAGCAATATTGTATTTTTGTAGGGATTCATAATCTTAGAATCTTTGGAATGTGAGGAAAACATAATAAGCCTGGTATAAGCTGAAATCCCTGAACGAATTGGTGGCTAATTTAATCATTCAGCCACATACAGTTGCATGTTATCTACGCTGTATCCATTTTCATTTGGGCTGATGAGGAGCAGAGAACTGTGCAGCGGTGTGCATTTGTGTCAACAATTACTTAGCTCAAATTTTGTTCAACTCAGGAGGCCCATAATCCAGTAATTAGACAAGACACACCTTCAGTGTCCCAGGTGTGACTATGTGTGCAGTTGGCAAGTCGAAGCACATTTACTGTGTAATGAGTGCGCAGGTGTGTGGCAATAACAGTGTAAGCGATTTGCCAGCATGATTAAAGTGAGTAGGCTAAATAAAATCTCTCTTTTCATATTAAAATAGTTTGACATGAGGAACATGACATTATTAAGACCCACCAAATACACATGGGCTTGAACTACTAAGTGTTGCTAATATGAAGAACTGGAGACAAAGTGGGTCCTACATCTTCGGACTGATGAGAGAGAGAGACAGAGGGTGGTGAAAGGAATAGAGTGTGGGATTTCCATCTGGCACAAGACAGGCAGGGCCTGGTATTTTTAGTCTTGGAGTGTGTTGGCACAGCACTGGTAAATTATCTTCTGGTAATTTATACTTTGAATTGACATTCTTTGATCCAGTTTATAAAGATATTTGGACAACAACATGCCTTTAGGAAGTGACACAATCTGTGTTTGTGTTCGTCTGTGTTTATCACCTTTTTTAAAAGAAGATAGCCACACATGAGATATTCTCTCTAATGCAAGTTATGATATGACATAGATATCCACCTGTACATATGTTTGTTTGTGTGTGTGTGTGAGTGTGTGTCAGGCACCCTTAAAACTCCTCAAATAGATTCACAAAAATCAGTCAGGTTATCCAAGCGACAAACAACATTATTTACATGAATTTCCCCTAGGGGATTAATAAAGTATCTATCTATCTGTCTATCTAGGTCTGGGAAACATCTTCAAAACACAGTTCTAAATCCTATTTGGATCCTAGAATCAAAATATTGAAATCAATGATACAATCATTTGTATGGCAGATAGGCACTGGGCATTATAGCAATACCCTCCCCCACCACCCTTTTTAATATGTGCTGTATTTTTATACACCTATTGTTCTCCCACCCTTTTCTCCATCCTAGGCTCTGTGCGTCTGCAAGGAGGTCGCTCCAAGCTAGATGGCAGGGTGGAAGTCTATCTGGGAGGAGTGTGGGGGTCTGTCTGTGGCGATGACTGGGGGGACGAAGACGCTGCAGTGGTTTGCAGACAGCTGGGCAAAGGGTGAGAGAGCACACTTGCGCACACATGTGCTCAGATATGCACTATATGGCGCTCTCTGTCTGCCTCTCCCTCTCACACACGTATTCCGACACATGCGCAACTAGCATCGCCGTCTACCGTATAAAGTGTAAATGGAAAATTGCTGGGAATGTATGAGAGTTTCACAACATTTCAGACATACACATTTGTGCATTCTGTTCTCTTCACAGCCTTTGTACCTTTCTTGAGTTGCCCTTGCATTCCAACCCCCCCATTCCCCAGTGGTATTTAAATACCTTTAGTGCTCAGCTATTTACCTTGTTACCAGCTCTCTCTCTCTCTTTCTTTGTCCCTCTCTCTCTCTCTCTCTCTCTCTCTCCCTCACACACTATAACTATGAGATGCTGTCATGCTAGAAGAGCCACTGATTTGCTGGGAGCCTGTGGACAGATCATACATATCGAAAGTGTTCATAAGTCGGGGTGTTGCCTGATTTCCCTGGAGAACAGAGACTCTCTGTGCACTTACTACACATGTTGACACTAACACCAGCGATGGCACGCACACTGACATAAACGCATGTCTGTGTGTGCATATTCACACAGGAGTCAATGAATCTCCACAGCGGAAAGGAAAGAGGGCAAATGTCAGCCATATGTCAGCTGGAATCGTTGGTGATGACTTTCACGTGGCCAGTTACTGAAAGCTGTTGGGTGTAAAACTGCTGACCGTATTGGCCCCTGAATAGCAGAGCATGAACATACAGATGGCTCAAGGTTACTGCTGCCAGGCTAATATGGCTGATTGAATTTTACGCTCTGAGATGGGCTGCTCCGTATTACCTTAGATAAAATAATTACCATGCGACAGTTATTAAAAAACGTTTTTAAACATCTTAACATCTCGTATCAGATTGGACTGGGTTTGCTGTTTGATGTCAGTTGTCTGACCAAATCAAAAGTATTTCAAATTAATAAAACTAACTTGTCTGCTTATTAATCCCCTTCCCCTTCCAGGATCTCAGGTCGTGCACGTGCAGTTTCCCTGTTTCGTCCAGGCATGGCCAAACTCCATTGGAGGGCGGTCCATTGCCAGGGAGAGGAGCCAGACCTCCTCCAGTGTCCCAAGGCTACCTGGAATGGAGGGGAGTGCTCTCTAGTTGCAGCCGTTACCTGCACCCAACAGCAAGGTAGGCCCACTGAATGGGGAATTATAGGTCTGTTATAGACAGACAGAGATTTGCATGAATCTAATGACATTTTATTACTGTACAAACAGGTGTCCCCAATATATATGTTAAAATGAAAAAAGTTCCCACATTTAGTAGATAATGTGTAAATGTGTGTGTTTGTGCTTGTGCAGTGGTGTCGCTCCCTATACGGCTGGTGGGAGGTCAGTCAGGGTCAGAGGGCACAGTTGAAGTCTTCCATGCAGGGCAGTGGGGTTCCATATGTGACGACCAATGGGATGACAGTGACGCAGAGGTGGTGTGTCGACAGCTGGGACTGAGGTGAAGGGGCGCACGCATGCACGCATGCACGCGCACACGCACACGCACACACAAACATGCACACGCACGCACACACACACGCACGCACACACACGCACACACAGATGTTCGTATTCACATTAATTCAAAACAATGATTAGCATAAAGGAAGTACATTGTGAGTATGAGAAAGTGGGGAAAAGACATGACAAAAAGATAGAGTAGGAAGCTGAGATGCGTAAATGTGGGTGTCCAGTTGTCTGTCTGTCTCTCTGTCTCCAAAAGTATGAGAAGTATTCTTTCCATTCGGACACACAGAGAGAGAGGAGCGAGCAGTAAAGAACATCTGGGTGTCAGATAGTGAATCAGGCTCATTGTTCCTGCATGAATTCTAGCACCACAGAGATATGCATATTTAGCAACACTACACTCTCTGCAAATGTTCGTGTGTGCATTTTTGGTGTATGCCACTGTTGGTGTTGCAATGTTTACATATGCAGGGATGTGCATGGCACAACAAAATTTTCAATAATAGATTTGAAAAACAATAGGTTTATTCCATTCAATTTCCAAATAAAACAACTACAGCATCCTACACCCTGCAATCTGTAAGTCAGTACATCTGTTTTTCATCATATAAGTATTACTGTGAACCAAACCTTCTATTCTTCTGTGCCTTGTCTTCTCTTTGTAGCGGTGTAGCAAAGGCATGGGGCCAGGCACATTTTGGCAAGGGTTCGGGCCGCGTGTGGCTGGATGAGGTGCGTTGCACAGGCAATGAGCTCACGCTGGAACAGTGTCCAAAAAGTGCATGGGGGGAACACAACTGTCTGCACGCTGAGGATGCAGGAGTATCCTGCAACCCTCTTATAGGTAGGCCAACACTTCTCAGCATCAGTATTCCATAACAGTCACAAAAACATGCAAGTGAAATGTACGTATATTTTACATATAGAGATATGGAAGGCCTTCCCGGAATTCCACCCTTATCATGGCAGAGTGGTTTGCATGTACCCATTGCACCCTCCGGCTTTGTTGCTGCAGACAATAGGGCTTTCACAAAGCAGACATTTTGACCAGTCAAACACAGGTGTAACTGATAACATTAATAATGGCTGCATTCCATTTAAGTTAGTTGCTGTTGTTGTGTTTACTGGTACACCTAAATGGAACAGTGCTTTCATTAGTGTCATCAGTTACATGTGTTAATTTCCTGTCAAAATACCTGCTTTGAGAAAAGGTAGGGCACATTGGTTTCAAGTGAGAAGAAATGCCAGAATGCCACTATCTCCACATGAGGTCCACCCTGGAACCTGTGAAGCAGGTGACTGCATAGTGGCGAGGCCTGGAAATATAGAGTTCACCTATTGATCAGCCTGTGCAAACAAGGTGGGACAGGTTCTGTGTAGTTTCACCACACACAAGAAGAGGAGTCTGGTGTGTTGTCAGGCGACCAATGTGCAAAGGCAGATGTCTTAAGAGTTGAACCCTGGCTACAGAAACAGGCATAGTAGTTTTCTGAATAATTACGAATCAGTTACAATCATTTAAAACATGCAAGGCGTAAGAAAATTTGCTATCTTTAATTTAAAAAAAAAAAAAATGCTGGTTTAATGCAGATGGAAAGCCTTGAAAATAAAATACACACGTATCTTCATGAGCAAGGACATTACCTAACTCTGTCTGTCTGTCTGTCTGTCTTTATCTCCAGACGGTGCTGTTAGGTTGGTAGGGGGTATTGGGAGCCACGAGGGACGTTTAGAAGTCTTCTACCGTGGTCAGTGGGGGACAGTGTGTGATGACGGCTGGACAGACTCTAACACACAAGTAGTGTGTCAACAGCTTGGTTACAGGTAATGTGAAGTATGCACGCCGCCAGACAGGCACATACACATGCACACTTATTTCTTATTTATAAGTAACATTACAGCCTAACCGTTTGTGTGTGGATGTGCATGTACATGTCTGCCTTGCAGGTTAGGCGAGACTCTGCTCTCTGAAGGGCTCGACATCACCCCAGTCCCACGCTTTGGGGTGGGGTCAGGTCCCATTCTTTTGGATGATGTGAGCTGCACAGGGAAAGAGCCTAGCCTATTGCTGTGCAACAGGAGGGAGTGGCTCAGTCATGACTGCACACACCATGAAGATGTTAATATCGCATGCAGCCCTGAGCGCAATGGAGAGAGTCTTCCAACTAGTAAGACAGAATCTTATCTTATTGTAAGACCTACTTGAAAGGTTGCAGATAACACAGAAACCACAAATGGGTGAGAGAGGTCCCATGGCACATGGTTCAAAATACTGGTACCCATCATTTATTTTAGTCCATATTAAGACTTTTGATATTATTTGATATTTTTTAACTGGGCATCTGTGCTACTGTTTTAGTTTGGTTTCACTCCTAGCTATCTTTCATTGCTGAATACAAATCATCCAGTCACTTTGCTTCATGGGGTGCCTCAGGGTTCAGTCCTCAACATGCTGTATTTTCCATTTATAAGCAGATTTGACCAAGATTTCTCTTTTGATTCCACCGACCTCAGTTTACATACAGTACCTTGAAGTTGAAAATGTTGATGTCTGAAAAGTTATAGTAGTTAATTCCAATAAATCAGAATTCATTATCATAGGACCGAGTTGATCTCTCACTAGAATCTCTTATTGGTTTACAATATTATCACACACATATTACCAGTAGTACTACTTACTGACGGTGTCATTTTGACCTGTTTAAGACAATGTAGTCTTCATAAGATTTAATTACGTGAGGATGCCCAATTTCTTTCAAGAGCCAACAGAAGAGTGCATAAAACCATTACTTAAGCATCTCGACACTGTTTGCACTCGCATTTCAGAGATGACTTTGTTGTGAGTTTTAATCACTTTTCCAGCCCATATGGGATTAGCTCCAGACTACTACTGACCTTTCAACCCCATATTAGCTGAGTTCCGCCTCCGATCCTCTGGCAGTTCCTTTTAGGCCTTTAGATGGAGAATATAAACTATCAGGCTTCGCCATCTGGGGCCCCTTGAGTCTGGAATGACTAGCTGTATTACATCAGACAAACAACTTCTTCATGTTATGCTAAATCTTAATAACACTTTATTTTAGACTTACTTACTGTTTTATTTCTGGTTGTTCTTTCTATTCATTTGTTAGTAATATTTTATTTCACCTCTGTTTGGGCTGTGTATTTAGCCAATTAGCAATATGTATTTTTTCATTTTGTAAAGTGCTTTATAAGAATGAGAATTTATCATTATCATTATTATTATTATTAGAAATGGTGGTAGTAGTGTTATTAGTTAGATTAAATGTCATTGATTTAATCTAACCCAGAGGAAGCCCCGCTTTGCACAAATTCTTTACAGGCACCGAGGAGCAAAAAACCAAATGATGAAAATCTCTATGTAATTTCCGTCACTTCATAAAACCAGCTGATCTGAAATCTGTTTCTAAGATCTCTGCCAAAGAGAACCTGCAGTCAATTAGATCTCATCTTTCTTAGAAAAGGAAATCCTTCTCCAAGAGACGGATAGAGGATGATGTAAGTCATGTTAACTCTAATAGGCACAGCTGTCAGTTGGATTGTCCTGTCTTAATAACCGGGTCGCTTGTAAATTCATCATGATTATATGGACCTACTGCAACAAACTGAAGTAAATCTCCCTCATGCCACTCTTCTTCCCTGTTACTAACTACAAAATCGTGAATACCAGGCATCAGTGGGCTAACATGTTGTCACACCATCGCATAACACATGACTGGTGTTTCTCCAAAACTGCATTTTTATAAGACAATACAGGTATGGGTTGAGTGGTGTTAATACCACTGACAGAGGGAGGAAGGGTTGAATGCTAGCAACATTTATCAAGCTTATGTCTATAGCCTCCAGACACCAATAAAGATGTGTAAGGATAGAGCTGGATGGCAACAGTTGTGTCGCAGATTTCGCCGCAAACATGTTCAATTTCTCTGCCATTTGTTTTGAAGCTGAAGTTAACAGATATAAGGTTGATAAGTCACAGAAAGGATACATCATGCTTTTTATATACTAAGTGATGTAAGTTTGGAGGAGTGTGGCTGTTTTGGGCGGAGAGCACATACTGCAGACCGAAATAAATGTTTCATTTTTTTTGGTTTAGGTAGATTATATTGTTTGGCAAAAGCCTGAGGGACACTCTCACCCCACAAACACCCACTAGAGAATGATGTCATTACTACATAGCATTTGTGTGTTTGTGTGTGTTAGTTTGTGTGCACATTGTGTGCTTCCATTTGAGTGTTTATGCGAGTGTGTAAATCCCCCCTTTTCCCCCCCGTAACATGCCACAGGCAGATTGGTCTGTGTTGTTTTTGGAGAAGGAGCGAAAGCAGATAAGCCAGGCTGTGCTTTGAACTCTCTCCCTCTCTTTCACTCTCTGTTGTCAGGGACTGTCACATTAGGCTTGTGTCAGAGCAGTAATCTAATGTGTGTGTTTTGACAGAAGGAAAAAAAAAAACAATTTGTGTTTCTAAGAACGCGGATAAAGATGAGCATTTCCTCGATAGCAGACAGAGTAAGAGGTAAACATTCCCACAATTAACTCCACTTAACTCAATCTTCCCCTCCTGCAGTTCTTATGTCCCACACACAATGTTTGAATGCGGCATGTCACTCAGCTCAGCCGCAGAAAATGATTTCAGGCTTAACTAACTTGTTGCTGATTTGTTCTTGGATTCCTGCTTACGTCAAACATTTCACCTAACAACTAGTCAACAGAGAGGATACTCAATAACTTAAAGATGTAACGTTAAAGAAATTTGGTCATTCTTAAAACCCCTCTCTGTCTTTAGCAGCTTAAGCAAAGGCAAATAAAAACACCGATTGACCTGACACTTGGCAAGAGTGTAACATGATCCCGAAAACATCCACACGTGGAAAAGACATTAGTATTCACTTAAACAAGATTAGTGTGTGTGCGTGTGTGTGTTTGCACGTAAAGGTATCTGTGTGCAGACAAACGATGATGGATTGTTCAGACTGATTTGATTATCATCGTGAGTTGAAGACCACTTGACAAAGAACAAGGACGGTAGCGTGTGAAAAACAGAGCCAATGAAAATAAATGAGCTTTTCATAGTGATAGGAGTCTTAACAATTTCTCCTCTCTGGACACACAAGTGGTTACGCGCATGAAAACTCACAGGTGTTGCAGCTACTTCCTTTGCAGAAAACATGAGCACACATGCCCCATTCACCAGACAAGTTAGCCTGCAGGATCAGGTTTGTTAGGGAATGTGTGTGTGTAGCGTCTTCAAGTAATTCTAGACTTAAAGGTTTTTGGTTAACTACAGAGAGAAATAAATCTGTGGCACTAAGGTGTGTCTGTGCATTGTCGGTCTAAATTGTGTGTGTGTGTATGTGTGTGTGTGTGTGTGTGTGTGTGTGTGTGTGTGTGTGTGTGTGTGTGTGTTTGTTTGTTTGTGTGTGTGTGTGTGTGATCTTCAGGTCTGCCAGTAAGGCTTGTGGGAGGAGAGAGCCCAAGGGAAGGTCGGGTGGAGCTGTATCTGTCAGGTCTGTGGGGGACAGTGTGCGATGATGGGTGGACTGATCGTGATGCAGAAGTGGTGTGTCGACAGCTGGGATACAGGTATGTATGTATGTATGTATGTATGTGCATGTGTGTTGGAGCAGTCTCTTTGACAGACTTGCTTTTCTGGGTAACATGCTGAAAACATTGACGCATTGATGACTTCCATGGAGTATGTGCAGGACGAAATTTTTGCTCCCCTTATGAGCAGACAAAGCTGTTGGAAGTGGCTCATTCCAAACACACCCTTGTTTTTTGTCCAACTAACAGTCCAACAACCTAAAGATACTCAGTTTACTGTCATGGGAGGCAGTCGATATTCACTTTTGAGAAAGTGGTACCAATGAATTTTTGGCATTTTTCATCCAGAAATTACTGAAATGATTAACCAATAAAATAGCTGACCTATTAATTAATAGACTAATTGTTTCAGCTCTTGTGTATTTACATATTTTCTTGGAGTCTGTAACAAATCTTTTCTTCTTATTCTTTCCTTTTCAACACGTTAGGATGTTGGAATGGAGGTAAAATGTTGGAAAAAAAAAATCTCAGTACTATTGAAATGTGATCGCTCTATACATTATATTCACTTGAGTGAATCCAGACTGCCAACTCCATGTGCAAAATCAATCACCACTTCGACTTGGCATCCGTCTTACAATCCCCTCCGTCCTTCTCTGTCTGTCTTTCATCTGTCCATCTTTCAGTCCTTCTCTGTTTCCACTTTGCACTTCATCACACACGTCTTGAGTTTCGGGTTAATCTACAGTAAAATAGCAATGTTTCATTAATTAATCTTTAAAAATTGTTGAGCACAAGTTCTTGAGCACTTCTTATGAGCCTCTGGTGTACTGCCAACTACTTTTAATAGAGGGTTTAGCTGTGCCCTTTTCACAGAGCCAAGATAAACATCCAATTAAAGGGCAGGCCAATTGTGCAAAAGACACATTCACAGTGACAGACATGTCGAGGCGAAGCAAACTACCTCATCTCACCCTCTCTGTGTCCCATTATGTTTTCCCTCGGAGACATTGTCCCGTTTTCCAAAACAATGGCTATGAGATGGCGAGGGAAACTGTACCGTAACAAACTGCCTTCATTTTCTCGCTCATCACTCCTCGGCAAGGGATACTCATCCCATAGCCACCCAATTTCTCTGACACATCTGTTTGTAGATGAAAGCCACATCTGGAGCGCATAAGCGTGAGAGAGAGGCGAAGCGTGGTGGAGGCGTGTAAAAGCCATGTTAGGATCATCATTGTGTCTCGCACAGGGTGTGATGAGAGATCATTACATACACAGCAGGTCCCTAAGGGTTGGAGGTTGCTCTGGTGATGAGAAAATATATATACTGCATATATGTCTGCATACACACACACACACACTTTCACAGAAATTATATTCAGTGTCAGTGACAGTTAGACAGAAACAGAAGAACTCAAAACTCACACACAAACACGGACACACTCCTACACCTACACTGAGTGCAAAATATAACTGGGCAACAATTTAACGCTAATGGTCTCAATGAACATGTGAAGTGAAGGATGTACGACTATTTCATACTTCACCTCCAGGAAACCATTTATAATATCTTAAAAACAATAATAAGTCAAATTAAATTGAAGGTAGAGAGAACTTTTTTGTCCACCTCCAGTCGTTTGTTATGTTGTTTCCACAGTGCTGCACCATGAGCAAATGTATTCAGAACCTGTAATGTCAGCACACTTGTGTTCTCTGTTACAGAGCTGGCACAGCAAGACAGGGTTCTTAGCTCGAAGACATGTTGGAAATTCTTTTTTCCAAAAAGCACCTGTGCCTGCCCCTCTTCATTCAACCCCATTCACCTTGACTTTCCATTTCTCCGTTGCAATATTTAAAACTGATCCACCAACAAAAATATCTTCTGAAAAGTAGGTATCCAAAAAGTTACAGATTATTCACGGTAAATGGGCAGCACATGAAACATGATGCCTGCAAACATGCCTGGCTTAAATTTCTACCTGGAGCCGTTAGAATCCAAAGCAGACTGCTTTGCATTTGCACAAAGGTTGGAGGTTCACCCTCTGCATGCTAAGTACAGCTCAGGGAGCTATTGGAGACACAGATACAACACTAGATGTCTCAATAAGAGACATGAGATTCCCTATGGATGAGCGGGGATACAAGACCTGCTATCAACCAAACCTCAGGGACGCAACATGAGATCCTCGCTCTCTGTTATCTATCAATCTTAATTAAAATCACAGTTACAACATACACAACCAGCACCTACCGGCCTCTGTGTGTTAGCTGTGTGCTAATTAAAGTCAGAGGTGAGATGGTCATACAAATACGGTTGTTATCAGATGGTAACAGTGGTGTGACCTGGCTCGCGTCACAGCCTGAGAATGTCAAACCATAACATCTACACTCACATGTCATCACTGCCTATATGCTTGCGCACACACAAGATGAAACAGTCAAACATTCAACTCTTGAATATTTTTGGTTTGTGAAATGATTAAAGGCTATTTATCTCGCTTTCTAATACTTTATCATCAAAGTAGTTGAAAATTTAAGACAGAATGACACGTCGAAATCCAACAAAACAAAAAATATATAATTAAATCTGACCTACACATCCTACACATTCATAATCAGACTCTAAAAAAACAATGCACAGCGGGCAGATTACTCCACTCGGAAAATCTTGTTTTGAGAAGTGCTGTATCAAAAATAAATCGCAACACATACTTACATAATTACATGACCTTATTTTGAGACACTTCTTTTTCAGTTTAATGTCATTTAGAAGGCGATGGTAATAATGAAACGTCGGTGTCTGTCTCGTATCTGTCTGTCCTCTTCAGTGGCGCGGCGAAGGCCCGTGTGATGGCGTACTTCGGGGAAGGGACAGGACCCATCCATGTGGACAACGTGAAGTGCAGCGGTGAAGAGCGTTCGTTAGCTGACTGCATCAAACAGGCGCCCGGCACACATAACTGTCGCCACAGTGAGGATGCTGGGGTCATCTGTGACTATGGTGACTCACAGCCCAGCTACAAAGAGGTCAAAGGTCAGTCAGTTAGTCAGGACTGTTTTACTTCATGTTGCTTTCAAAACAAGTGGCGCTTCTGTGACTTATTGGGAGCATTAAGGTAATGTGTTTAGCAAACAGTTCCGATATGTCGTATACACAGAAGAAATAATGAGAAACAAATGACTAACTAAAAGTCAACAGGTGATATTCTGAAAGGAAAGCAAGGAGGACTTCAGTGAGTACGTGTGTGTGTGTGTATATATCCAGATGGTAAAATGGTAAGAGCTATGTTATTGCTTCACCCTGTCTGTCACACATCAGGGCAGACTCGCATGATGCTATCTGTTACCTGCACATGCACTATACTGTGGAAAGTCTACCCAGTGCAGGAAGGTGTTTTGCCTCTTCAGTGTGATAAATGACATCCTCTGAAAATGAACTTAAGCTATGTTTGTAGATTTTAACATACATACACACACATACACACACACACACACGCTATGCAAAATGATCTGTTTTCATTTTCTTTATTTCAGGTTCATATATAGTAGTAAAGGATGACTGTCAAACATTATTATGTTTTCAGTCAGTCTAAATATTTAATAAGAGCAACATCTGAGACTAAATGTATGGTTTAACAATCATCACCATCCCACATACTCACATATATACACATCCAAGTGGTTCCTCTTTTGTCTCTGTCAGATCCTGTCAACTCAATTTGCGGTCTGCGGCTCATACACACTCGCCAGCGCCGGATCATAGGAGGAGAAAACTCTCTGAGGTAAGCTGGAAGGGACAGGAGGGATTAATTACAGCACAGAGAAATCCTGCCAGAGACATATAGAGTAAAGAATTTTGGACACATTTTCCAGTCAACATGTCTTAGATAGAAAACAGCTGATCTGAAGCTATGAGCAAAGAAATGTCCAGCATGTCTGTACATGCTTGCAAATGTTTTTCATACTCGGTATTGTGTGTGTGTTTGTGTGTGTTTGTGTGTGTTTGTGTGTGTACAGTGTCTAGATGGCTTCCCATAAGTTTGCACTTCACATAACAGCAAGTAAACTAATTCTGCTAGATATGCTAATGATTAATGTCCTCTAAAAAATCTCATAAATCATATTCTGATAGAATATGCACATTGTTGCTATGTTGGCTGTTTAAGGCTCTTTTTTTTCCCAAATCAAGGTGCAATAACTACATGTGCTGACTTTACAGTTAAGTGTCATTCCTTTTTTAGCAATTTGCTCTTCTTAAAATGCTGTAGTGTGGATTCTATGTCTGTTTTTACATCTTAAGTTATTTGTGCCCTTTTCTAATTGCTTCTGTGTGTTTACGTGTGTGTGTGCGTGTGTGTGTGTGTGTGTGTGTGTGTGTGTGTGTGTGTATGCATGCTTGGCCGTATGTTCATGTCCATAGAGGTGGATGGCCATGGCAGGCCGCGATTCGTTTGCGAGGCTCTCGAGGAGATGGGAGATTGGTGTGTGGAGCGACTCTCATTGACTCCTGCTGGGTCCTTACCTCGGCACACTGCTTCAAGAGGTCAAACACACACACACACACACACACACATCCACTCACACTCATGCATATATATACAAGCACATCTGCTATTTAAATTGTGCGCTTGCGCTTATCTTTGTGGAAATGAGGTTGCGCGTATACATACCTTTGCAGACAGACTTAAAAATGTTGTTTGAACTCAACCCAAACTCAACTACACCCGCCACACAATTTCCTCATTTCCTCAATATATTCCTCAACAAAGTGAGCTGTAATCAATGGTGGTTTGGCTGTGTTTGTGGTGCAGGTGGTGGTGGTGGTGGTGGGGGGGGGGCAGAGTTACTTCATGTTCACTACATCTGGTCTGGGGGGCCTCCACATGGCGCCACAAACTTGAAATCCATCACCTAATGCATACAGCAGAGAGGGGCAGCGGAAAGACTGAAACAAGACAGAAAATGAATAGACCAGAGAGAGACTTCACACATTTGTGTAGGGCTGAGAAAGTTGAGGGTTGAGACGGCACTAACCATAGGGTCTGCATTTAATACTTTTACAGTACATGCAAGGTTGTCAGACTGAATTGTAAGGGCAATATCTTTTGGTTGTGTTACCAGGTTCCAGTGTTTGGGTTTGGTAGGAAAACCAGAACTCTGTGTTGGCCCCTACAGCTCCACCACTATAAATCCTGATGTTTCCACATTAAAGAGACAGACATTATTTGCAAAATCCTTTCCAGTTCCATTTCTTAAACCATTCCCAGGCCCAATTCCCTGTCAGAGTTCTACTCCTTATAAAGTTACCTCTACTCTGCCATGTCACTTTTCCATCCTCTACTTTAAAGTGGCACACACAGGAAGCACACAGCTGTGCTGCTGAAATCAAGACTTCTTGGCTTGATTAGTATAAACAGTTGACCACCAGTGTATTCACAGACTGAAATGATGATTTTGACTCTGACGATCTACGAACAGTGTCACTTAAAAATTGTACAGTATCAATCAATCAATCAATCAAACTTCATTTATATAGCACTTTCCATACAGTGCTTCACTGATGACTGATGCTCGGGATTATAGTTGCCAGAACTGTCTTTAACAGATAGACAAAAGAAAATAAATCATAGAGTAATATAAATAAAGTAATTATATGTTAGTGTGTTCTTGATGACAGAGGTGCATGCTCACCTACTGTCTCAGGCTGAAATCCTGATGATATGCCAGACAGTCCTACCATAGTAACACTCTGCTGTCTGCTGCACATTGGCACCGGACTTCTACCTAGTATAACAGTTACTTACTGTTGAACAAAAGTGCAAACCTAAAAACCACACATAGGAAACGACAGAACGTATTAAAGATATTTTTAGCTTTACTCTTGTTATCATAAACAGTGTAAGCTGACAAGAAAGGTCACACCCTACCAAGTACTTACCTCACCTGCATGATCACATATCCGTCCTCCGTGCTCCAAGATGTGAGCTTCAGCTATGGCAGCTTTGAAAAGTAATTTGCTGCATGCAAGTCAGAGACCAAGATAGGGACTTCCGACTTCACAGTGTCATTTTTCATGTATGGTAACGAAAATAGAGTGTGACACACGCACACACACATACACATACACATACACACGTACACACACAGTAAGAACAAACAAATACCCGTGCACGTATTGTATTATGCTAATACAATACACAAAAAATACATCAACCAGTCGGCTTCTGCACTACTGCCTGTACTAATTTGCATAGATAATTTTATAATGTCATGTCAAGGTACAATTACCAAATGTAACTAACACGGTCATATTACCTGATCCCTTACACTTCCATTACTGATTAGTGGGTTCATAAAAATTGACCTCAGGTCAGTGGTCACATGTCGTCAACATATTAAACCTATTTATACCTTGTAGCTGAACAGCTGGGGGCTTGCCAGCAGTAATATAACTCCACCACATTTTAACTGCTTTTAGCAACAACAATAATGTGTGAAAGGTAACTCAGGTGTCACATTCAAGATCTTTTCCATGGCTTAAGGACAGGATCAAGCCTGTTAGTTTTCTACCAATCCTCATTAGCTTTGTGTGGACATGGTGAGTTAGTGTAGATCAAAACGTGTGCCTGTGTGTGTGTGTGTGTGTGTGTGTGTACTGTACATAGATGGCTGGTCAGCACTGTCTCTGCTCTGCCAGGAACGCTGTGGCATTCCCACGTCAGGAGATCTTTCCGGAAACGCTCTACCAGTTGTAACTGGACACACAGACATGGCTCAGTGGCAGGGCCTCCCTCTCTCACTCTTCTCTTCTTCCTCCTATTCCATCCCTCCCTCTACCTTGCTCCTGTCTCTGTCCCTGCCTTACACTCCTCCATTTCATAAAGGCCAAACATCTCCAACGAGTAAACAGAAAGTGTAGAAAACACTTCATTATGTCAGCCTATGAGTCAGCTAAATGCATAAACACAGAGACAATGACAAATTTACTGTTATCATTCCTGCCTTCTCATTCTTGTGTCCAGGTTTTCATATGTTTAGCCCCTAGAAGTGTGAAATCCTTTCTTAGCTATAATTTATAGTGAATTGATAGAATGTAGAAAAGCATTAAAGAATGTTGTGGGGGGTGGATAGGAGGCACAGTGGAGAAAAAAAGACCACATGGCTGATCAGTTACTTGAGAAAAGCTTTCAGACTGACTAAGAACATAAAATATTCATAAGCATCAAGAGGAACACAGACACAAAAGGAAATACAAAATTGAGCAAAAATCAACAAGAAAACTCTGGATAAAATAGTCAAATGAAAATACCAACTGATTACCGAAGAAAGCCGGACGTAATAAGGCAACCCCATGAAACCCCTGCCCCATGCTGTGCTGTTTTCTAAGTAAGGGTTACGCTTCAAATATCAAAAATATTGCTGAGATAATAACACTATGAAGCCTTAAACATTTAGAAATAAAGTTTTTAATGTATTCTACTAATCATATGCATCTAGTGCAGATTTTATGTATGCTCAGCGTAACACACTTGCACTTTTTCCAGCTCTACATAATCTACTGCTGAGGTAACCACTGCCAGAGCTCGTAATTTTATTGTTCATGGTTTATGTATTAGCAGTGGGATTGCTTATATACACACACACACCCTCTTTCTCTAGAGGCCTCTCTCGATTCTTCCCTCCATTTCTCTCTGCAGGTATGGAAACAGCACCAAGCAATATAAAGTCAGAGTAGGTGACTACCACTCCCTCGTCCCTGAGGAATACGAAGAGGAGTATGGCGTTGATCAAATTGTGCTCCATCCAAGCTACCACTCCCATAGCAATGACTACGACCTGGCCCTGGTTCGTCTGTCACCGGGGGCAGTGGGCCAGGTGCCGGGAGAGTGTGTGTCATTCAGCCGTCATGTCCTTCCCGCCTGTCTGCCCATGAGGAAAGAGAGAGTGCTCAAACAAGCCAGCAACTGTCACATTACCGGCTGGGGTGACACAGGTGGGTGTGGGTGTGTGTGTGTGTGTGTGTGTGTGGAGAGAGGGGGGCTGTATACGGAGGCCCTGAGGTGTAAAACATAACATAATATCACAAAACAAAATGAATAAATGCAGAATGATTTTAACATGTCGGGCCTTCACACCTTTAAATTCCCTTAAATAAAGGGCAATACAGAAAAAAATGATGATTTAAAAGACAAATATATGATGATTTGTTGACTGGACTATTTACACCTTTTCCATCAGTTTAATGTTAATTAACAGTTTTTACCAATATGTTCCATGACCGGGGATATTTTTCATGATGTTCAATTTGTCCTGGGCCAGTCAGGCTTCGGTCAATGCAGACTGAATGAAGTCCATCAAATAAAATGAAAAATAAAGATTGTTTTTTAAAAATCATAATTATAATAAATAATGAGATAAAATCAGGTGTCTGAAAGTGTAAAAACACTTGACAATCAATAAACCTTGCAGTAGTGTAAATCAGTAGGGTAATGAAGTAAAAAAAAAAAAGTAAATAATACCACCCTGGGTCTATTTGTGGTGATGTTCACTGTACATTTTGACAGACAGTGAAACAGTCACATGCCATAACCACTATATAATTCCTGTCATATGTAACTCATTTTGTCGGTGAACTGAAAATCGCAGATAAAATAGAAGAGAATCCTCCACCCGTGATTACACTTGTTTGAGTTCATGCTCTGCATCTGTCCATAGACTCGCCTGCATTCACAGACACACATCTGTTAGTGATCTTTAAATTACATACTGATGTCATTAATCATAGCAACACAGTCACAAAGGGCTACGAAAGGTCACTGTACACACTTAATACAGAAACATGCGCTCCTTACTGAGGGCTAAGTGTGTCTTTTCCCCCGTAATATCAGTGGAATCCATGTGGGATGAAATCTGTTTTCGTGGGTGGGAGAGAGTGTTTTTATTAGTTTACTTAAGTGCGGTGACAACACAGACTGTTTACAGGGTCTGATGTTGGGTAAAGGCTGTTTGACTTGAGGATAAATGTCTGCTTTGCACAGCTGTTTGCACTTGGCTATCTGCCACTTTGATATCAAACACATGCACATGCAAGCAAATTTTACACATGCATGCCACTGCTAAGCTGCCATGGATAGTAAATAACACTGTGTGGTCATGGAGAGAGTCAGGGGAAGCAAAAAAAAAAAAAAAAAACACCACCGTGGAGGCTTGAGTTCAGTTTTCAGCAGCGGTTCTCTCCAGCTTGGTTGCGTGTTCCAGCAAACACAACTGGCAGTGCTCATGAGGGGAAAACCATGGAAGCATCATGTCCTTGTCACTACTGGTTAGTAGTTTGAATATTTTGGCCACAGGGTGAAGCTCCTTGCTTAAAAAAAGCAACCAGCTGCAGTGTGTATATCAGAGGACATAAACTGCTGTTTACAACCTCCTCAGGCCAAGTAAGCATACAGAGAAAGTATTTCTTTAAGAGACACAGAAAAAGATATGGAATGAGAAAATGATTTCTCTTATGCTCTGCCAGAAACCTTGAAATTGATTTATCTCTAAATTAGAGCCCATTAATGCCTGAAGAAAGTCAGAGAGCCTTTGGTAAGAATGTGATAAAAGAGCTCGAGTCAAGTGGAGTCTGCTGACCACTGGCAAGGCAGACTTTAGAACAAAACAGGTCATGCCCATGTGGAATGCTGCATGCTTCACATCCACTTATCTCACGACAATTTGAAAATGACATAAAAATTGAAACAAAATTTGGTGCCAGTTCAGGGAGTACTGTAGATGTCGAGATTTTTCACTGAATAATTGAACATTTTGATCAGATGGTGGCGCTATATGAAAAGTCAGAGGATCACTAAAATTATTACAATTTATGGACTCTAAATAGCTGCATAAAATTTTATTATGGCAATTCATCCAGCAGTTGTGGAGACATTTCAATCTGCTAGCATAGATAAAAGACAAATATTCAATGACTGAAAGGCAGCAGACACTATAAAGGTCAGCAGAAAAAAATAAGTTTTGAGGCTTCTGCCACTTGAACCATTGCCATTCCCTCTGGTCTTCACTTCCACTATCTGACCTTGACACTAATAAACACAGATGCTCACACACACTCTTCCAAACCTCTCACATTAAACTCTAACCTCTCCATTTCTCTCAGGTCGCTCATACTCCAAGACCCTTCAGCAGGCCCCCCTCTCCCTGCTGCCCCGCCGCCACTGCCAGCAGCATTTCCACGGCGCCTTCACGAGCCGCATGCTCTGCGCCGGCAGCATCCAGTCGGACAGGCGGGTGGACAGTTGCCGTGGTGACAGTGGAGGTCCGCTGGTGTGCGAGCGTCCGGGAGGGGGTTGGGTGGTTTATGGGGTCACGTCCTGGGGTCATGCCTGCAGGACACAACAGTCGCCTGGTGTCTACACCAAAGTCTCTGCCTTCAGCTCCTGGATACGCAAAGTGATCGGACATGATGAGAAAAAAAGGTGAAAGGAGAACATCAAACTGAAACAGCTGACCTCTCGATCAGAAAGAATGACTCTCGAGACTCACTCGATTGGTCAGGTGACAGCTGATACGACAATATCAGTCATGAATAATTGATGTCATGATGTTATGGCCTGATTATCCAGTGATGTAAGTTATAACTTGACTTTCAAATGGAGAGGACAAGAAGGCACCGCTGGGCTTTTTTTATTTTGGAGAGAGGAGGGCATATATTTTCTCTCATCTAAGTCATTAGCACTTATTTTAATGATTTAATATTCTCATGAGCTGCAAGATTTTGGATGGTATTAAATCTCAACTCAAGAATATGCCGTAACTTAAATATCTTTTTGTTATTACTTGCAACATTGCATACCACACTATAATGCTTTGTTCTGTTTTTTTCCCCCATGTTTTCTTTTCTTGCTTTTGTTACAAAGTTTTATTGTAATTTATGATATAAATTATGTGAGTAAAAATGTCGATAAGGGACCATGTACACACAATATACAAGCATGCCCTCATGCATACACAGTAAGTTATGGCATGGCATGAATTTGCAGACTTGCACGAAGAACACTCATTAGGTACTTAAAGCATGATATTCAGTGCTTTTGCGTTTAGCACACAAGTCATATTGGCCATATTTGCCAAAGTGAATTACGTCTTTAAACCTCACTTCCATCTTGATATTGTGCTCTTTGTTCTTCCTTTGTGTAAAAAGCAGATTTCAGGTCTTAGTAATGACTCGGGCATTTATCATTTGTATCCAATCAGTATTTGTCCTTGTCTCAGTGCTGCTTAATGTTTGCAGAGAAAGGAACAGACAAGTGTTTCTGAGTCAAAGCACAAAACAGTGTTTCTAAGCGTTGATGTGTTATATTGACAATTTCGTATTTCTTTTATCCTGGTGGGATAGTTGAGTGTTGTCATGGTTTTGACGACACTGACGGAAGACAATCTGGTACACTTGAAAAACAAAAACAGACACTACACTGCCTTCTCGTTTTGGGTGTTTACTGACTGTGTGTTATGTTTTAATGTACTGTAACATTTCTTCATAAACTAAGGTTTTGTAAAAAAAAAAAAAAAAAGAAAAGTCTGAGTGTATTGTGTGTTTAATCAGAAACTTTAAATACTTGAGTCACAGTGACAATAATCTGTTTAAGTCTGAGTGGTTGTGACAACGTTTTCTGTCATTCCCACGAACCCTGAAAGTTGAACATCAGTTGGAACAACAGAGTTCTTTCAGGGTTTTTTTTTTTTTTCTGACCGCAAACTGTCAAAGTGAGCACCACCATGTCAGACAATGTGTATGCACACACACCCACACACAGTGTCGCTGGTATGTCACACAGTGTCTACAGGAATGGCACCCATTTTCTGACTTGTCCTCATTTACAAGTTAAACACGTGTTGAGTTAATGTGCATTATTCAAGGACTGGGACCAACTGTTCCAGTGAGAAGCTGCATGGACTCTTGGCAACACAAATAAAAATATGTCCAGAACTTGGTACTTTTTGTTTGTTTTTAATCTTGAAGTGCTCCACAAATATGTTAAGTGGAATTATTAAATTTTTGAAATCTTATTTGTTATGTTATTGTGGTATAGTTTGGTTTCTCATAAGACAAATAGTCTTGTCAGTACATATATTGTGTTTTTGTATCTAACAGAAGAGCTGGTTTTCCCATGATGCAGGGCAGCTGGAGCCATCTCCAAATGTTCTTTTCCTTTGAATGATTATGATTAATTGTATTTACATCTACTTAAAAAGGTTAGGATTAAAAAAAAAACTTTTCTACTGAAATAATTTTTAAAGACACAATGAAAACAACTGTAAGTTCTTATTTGCTGTCAAATACATTTGAAAACTAAATCGCATTGTCCACAATATGTCAAGATTTAGTTTCAAAGGTTGCTGACATCCATCATATAAAAGAATGGAGTTGTCTGGCTCAGGACGCAGAGATTGATGTGATTCCTACCCTGGCTCTGCTTTTTAGAGGATCTTTTTCTCGATTTTTGAAATGTTTAATTTATGAGCAATTTATGGGACATGCTGAAAACAAAATGTCATCATACATTATCACTGAACCTGCCCTCTGCCTTTGCTAAAGCCTAATAGAGTTATACAATAGTTTTTGATCAATGATCTCATGTGTGTCAACCAGCCTCGACGGTTCCACAATGGTCGTTATGTAAAGGTATTTTGCACACAGATGAACACGGAGGCAGATAGTTTGTTGAAATAATGAGCCCAGAAGGCTCCACATGCTGCAGTTGGGTGTTTATGGGAGTAAATATGCAACACTATCATAATCTATTTTGTTTTACATTTGTTAAATGAAGAACTGCTCTCAGCTACAACATACTGTAGTTGTCCTTATTGTCTGAAAGCACCCCCCTGTGGTCATTATCACACATTACAAAACAGACATTGGAACTATTTTTTTCTATGGTAAATATAGAAAATCACAACTTTTCATATATTCAGTGTACAGACACTAAGCTAAAACATTATTAAACATTAAAAATGTTCACTAGTCATAGGGGTTTTCTTTTATTCCTAGGGCTAAGATAAATCATAAAAAATGAAACATAAAATATGAAAAAATAACGTGATAAACAATTAAAAGACAAACATAAATGAACATGAGGTTGAACTGAATGCAAGTTTTCATTGAATTTCTCTGTAGACTGAATATAGAAACCTTTTCCTTTTTTCTTTTTTTTTCGTTCCTGTCTTGGCTTTGATGTTACATGTCATCAATGTACACTGTTATAATGCCTGATGATTTTATTTTTCAAAACAATTTTTACTTTTATTTAAATAGTTCAGCGTAGGAAAATCATAATCAAAATATTGTGCATAACCATTCAAGTACCATTTTTTCCTTTCACTTTTTGTTATTCCCACTGAACCTCTAGCTATAGAGAAGCACTAATGAGTTTATATTAGATGTCACCAGGGGTGGTGCAGAAACAGAAGGTCTCATTATACATGGATAATTTCTTTCTACTCATATCTGTTTCCATTCCTTAAACCCTGGCAACACTTGGGAAAACCAGCAGGGAAAGATCTAAGGATAGTGATTAAACCTGAATAAGAGTGATCTCATGCACATCAAATTGGCTGCTAGAAACTCCCTGCTCAACCAGCTGCTTTTGAAAGTGGCTGAAAATACCTTCATAGATTTGGGATTTGTGTTATTTTTAGATTGATTATGTCTAGATCTGCAATGCTTGGGTGTACTTCTTTTATCTGTAGCATGGCTTTTCTTTTTTGCTTTTTTTTTAACAGGGCCATAATATAATCTGAAAACATTGTTTGGGACAACAGATCTACACATATATTGGAACAAACATGTCAACATTACAACCATATAATATCATCTCCAAAAAATATACTTTTTCAAATAATTGCACTATACACTTAAATAGGAAAAACACAGACTGCTTTGCTGCTGTTACCCGGCCCTCGAACCTAGTGTAAATGAGCCTTAACTGAGTTACCTGAAATTATTCATTTATTTTTCTCAGTCAGTTGTGGCTCCTTACAAACACAGTGGGCAGATACAGCTACTGTAGATACAGATAATGATATATGGGAACTGATATTGTATTCTGTATGCTTCAATTTTTGCCAAAAATGGGTTCTATGAGTGTAAAACTTGTTAGAGGGTCACCAGAAAGAGTGAACAAGCAATTGTTTTTTTCTCTCTCACATTCTGTGGATTCATCTTTCATTCCTGCCTTACTGACAATGTTTAGACTCACAAGACAAAAGTCTGATGGTGGCTTCCTTTTGTGACGTCATGGCTAAACATTTAATCTAATCGATTTGATCATCTCAAAGTCCTCCATCGTATTCAAGGTTTATTACAAATGTTCTGTGTCGTATGATGAGAATAAAAAATAGCTCAACAACAGATGGACAAATACGAACTGACTTGGCTGATATGATTACCATGTTGTGCCTCCAAGGACAGGTTCACATTTTTTTCTTTTAAGTCTGTCAACAATAGTCAGGTAACCATTTGAAATGTTTGTCTGAAGCTGATATGAGATTTCAGCAGTTAGTCAAGTGGATATCTTCCAAAGTTACAGCCCTTTTAGTGCAAAATACCCTGTTTGTGTTTCTCTGTTGTGCTGGAATGATCCAAGACAGACTTGGAAAACTGTGAACCTATCCATTAACATTAACACAATGTGGTAGATTTTTATTCTATTCTATTATCCAGCTTTTTTTCTGAATCATATGTTTGCATCCCGGTATAATGTATCATTTTTAACAAGCAGAAACAGTGTGGTTCCCAAAAGTTTAATCAATATATAAAGTAAATAGGATGCAGCTAATAACTGGAATTTACAAAAAATAAATAATGTCTACACGTTGCAGTCTGACATGATGGTGCCTGCTCTACTGTGGAGTAGAGAAGAAGGTAGAAGTACTCTTATTTAATTAAAAGCAGAAATACAAGCGTAAAAATATTGTTACAAATAGGCTAATAGTCATGCATTCAAAACTTTACTTAAGTAAAAGTACTATAGTGTTGGCATAACGGAGCATTTCAGTATCTTATATTAATGGATTATAATTACTGATCCATTAATGTGTAAATCACATTAATACTGCCGCTGGTGAGGGGCTACTTTAAGTCACTTTATATACTGCTGGGCAGCTTATGAATTTACCCCCTGATCAATCAAAGTTTTACCCTAGCTGATAATAATAGAATATTATATATCAATATAATTAACTTAATTATTGATTACATTTTGTATTATTAATGTGAATCTGCAAAATAACTTCTCACTGCAGTTTATCAAATAAATACAGAAATACAAAGTTCAATTCTTGCTTCTGAGTTGTAGTGGGGGAAAAATAGAACGTAGTAGAAAATGGAAATACTTAAGTAAAGTACCTCAAAGTTGTACTTATGTACAGTACTTGAGTTATTGCACTTAAGTTTCCACTACTGCAGCCCTGCATCATTGTGTTTTGAACCGAACATTATTGTATTGCAGGTGACTTAGCGGTGATTGAAACAGCAACTGACAGGCACAAATTCTTTGAACAGCAAACTGTAATGCATTTCATTTTCACTTACCTTAGAGGACAAACAGTCAACCGTTCAGACCAAAGACTGCGTGACTTCACAAACTTCACTGCTCAGTGCAGTTCATGTGTGTAACCTCATTTAAAAAAAAAAAACATCTTATACTGTCAGTCATATCCATTTCTTTAATTTTGGTTTTTGTGTTTGACATTTAGGGGGTTTTTGCATTCAAATTGAAGCTAAACAATTTAGGCCACAGGTATTAAAAAGGAAATAAAAGGAGGTTGAGACTTAAATGAGACATTGACAAAACAAAAGCAGTTACAGTAGCTACTTAAAGAGTCTTGGAATTAAGTGTCCCATCTATTAGGCTCAGTTTGGTCAGTTTTCTTCCCACAAACTCATGTCTCCTCGGTCCTTAGCGCTGAAATCATCAGCGCTCATGCTCTGCTAAATGGACACAGCATTCTTCTGCATGGCTTGTCACAGGAAAATAATGAGCAGGCAATGCATCTTGGTTCAGTGACTCATTTCCAGTCCACACTTTCCGGTGAAAGCCTCAAAATGACATCTCCAAGGGTGAACAAAGCTACCAGATCTACCAGAAACTAGCTTCTCTTAAAAAAAAAACAAAAAAACAAACAAAAAAAATTCACAAAAAACAATGAGAACCTATCATGGGAAGTAACAGGCTGTCACTCACCCTGAGTCTATGCACTCATCCTCCCTGCTTATTTTTTTCTCAGTGTGACAAAAAAAAACTATAAAAAGTAAAACCAAACCACATAGGGTGCATTTTTTTTTGTCTTGGAGATACAAGGAACAGAACTTAGTGCAAAGTCATCTCTATGGGAACCACGCACAGCTGACCAGCGCTGTTCTGGCATTATAAATTAAAAGGTGAAAATAAAACAAAAAGAAATAACCATCAAAGTCACTGCAGGTCTGCACGAGAGTTCACCACAGTTCAGGACAGGGTTTAGGCATCAAAGACTTGCCAAACATTCCTTGTCTCCTATAGTTCAGTCATAATGTGGATTTTCCTTTTTAGTCCCACTTTCCTCTGAGCTGTCTGAGTCCCCTGAAACTGTCTGTCCGTCCATCCGTCCGTCCATCCGTCCGTCCGTCCGTCCATCCATCCATCCATTCATTCATTCATTCATTCATTCATTCATGCATGCATCCATCCATCCATGAGTTCAGTTTCAGCCCACAGAGCTTCTAAGCACTTCATGACTTCTGCTCCCTTCAGCAGTGTCACAGTCCTTAGGAGAAACAAGGCACCCTGTCCTCGCCTTCACCTCAGGGTTTACTAAAAGGCCACAGACAGTGCATCTGAAGGTCAGGTGCTCCCGGTCGCTTCCTGGTCTTTGACCCCTTGACCTTTAACCCTGGCTCATGGATGCAAAGGTTATCTAACCTTAAGAAAGATGTGGAGAGAGGAAGGGGGTTGAGAGGGAAACACAGAGAGGAGGGAAAAGAGAGGGGAAAAAGTAATTTAATTACATTTTGTTTGTTTACTGATTCAAATGCCAACTGTGAAAATAAGGAAGAAAACATGGTGTGGCTGTGAATGGACTGGAAAACCTAAGCGGACTTGTCAAGTAACTCCCTCTGATTCATACACAGTGACACAGCAGCACAGACAAATCCACAGACAAGAAGACATTGTTGAGCACTGCAGAATAAAAAGATATCAGAGATCAAGGTGAGACTGATGCTAGAAAAAGCACTTACACTATGAAACGTCATAGTATGATGTGCATACTTTGAAAACCTTGACAAGATTTAATCAACTTCAGAAAGTATCTTCTTTTTTGTAAGCCATCAATATTTGTGTTTCTTTTGTGTGTTGCATCATCCATTGATGCACATTTCTGCTTCTGTTGGTTGCTTTGCGTAAAGTATCCATAAATTACATTTGCTGAAAAGGTTATGTCATATATTTCCAATCTCTAATCAGAACTTCAGAAATTTAATGATTTAAGGGGTTGTTTGCTTATGTTGCCCGCACAGCTAATCAAATCCAACCAAACCACACCCACCCAGTCCTGATGTAGCAGATTAGCTTCAGCTACAGAAACAGCTAGCTAGTCCTAATAAATAATAAGTACGTTTTTTTCCTTATACTTTAACTTTAATTGTTGTTTATTTAGGAATGGAAATTTAATGTTACAAAGAGCTACTTCCTGGGGCTTCAAGTACATTTTTTTTTAAAACTATTCAGTCCAACCCAATCCACTGGTGAAAATTGTTTTACAGATTTTAACTTGCAGTTCCATGCTACTGAGCTAGTGAGATGAGTGTCAGGGAGTTTAAAGCTGCTGACCTTCTGCAGCTCCTCTCTTAGCCAGGAGGGAAGGGGCTGTCCGAGGCGATGCAGCAGCTTTGACAGCTCCACGTTGTGCTCCCTATAGTACCTGGAGAGATATGCACGTGCCTGAGGAGAGAAGGAGGGAAGAAAGGATGGAAAGTGTAGAAGTGTGATGACCAGACATAGATGGGGGAGTGACGGAAATGGAATTAGGAGAGAAAAAAAAAACAAGTAGAGAGAGAATAAAAGGTAGTGAGTGAGAATTAGAGGTGGTAAACAGGGAAGTAAGGAAGTATATAAGGGCATGTGGGTAAAGGCCAGAAAGGGAGGAGAGGCATGATCAAGGAGCAAAAAGGGAAAGATAGAAATGCAAGGAGTGGGGGGAAAAAAAGGGATATTAAAAAGAGAAAATTAGAAAGACATCATGGGAGAAGGGGGGCAAACAAGAAATAGAGGGTATTAATGATGTGCCACCATCTTTAGATCGGTTTATTTCTCCTCAATAGGACTTTAGGGCCAATAGGTGCCGAGTGTTATGAACAGAGCTGAGAAAAGAGACGTTAGAGGGACGGGAAAAATTACATGAAGGATGCATGAGCTCCATTATCCCTCTCCCTCCCTGTGTGCATCCCTCTCTCTCCTCCCTGGTGCTCTCCACCCTCCTCGTCTGTCGTCTCCCTCTTTCCCCCTGGTGGAAACTCAAATGCAGTTTAATTACAGGTGACACTGCCATTAGCCATGTGTGAGCACATGAGGGAGGACAATTTGTAGATATGTGTGTTTGTCTTCATGTGAGAGCAAATGTGTGAATCATTGTCTGCACTTCTGCTATCTCCTCTGTGGAATCAGCAGCCAGGACAAAGATTTATGGACTGGATTTTCTCCTTCTACCCTTCCCCCTCCCTCCATCCTCTCTCTCATGGGTGTTCTGTCACTATTGAGTCCTCATAATTAGGTTGTAACTTTCTGGCTGGATCTGATTGGCTGACAGTTTCCACCCCTATGCTGGGTCCTGTGGGAAATTTTGCCACTGCGATGGAAGGGACTGTGGGGCTGTCACTGTCAGTCAGGCTGCTGTGTTTTCTTTTTTGTTTGTCTCCTTCTCAAAATTTTCATTCAATGCATATATCAATATTTTTTCCCTGAGCATAAAGCTGTTTTAATTAAAATGTGTAAGTTTACCTCTGGCTCCATAGGAGGGTACTTCCTCCCTTTGCTCTTTCCCAAACATTTTGTCTTTCCTCCCTCAAGGAGCTGGCACCAAAAGCCCTTCTGAGGGTCAAACCTGACAGAAGAGAAAAGAAGAAAATATAGTCAGAAAGACAGAGACAGGGGGAGAGCATTAATAAAAAAAAAGAAAAGAAAAAAGAAAATTTAATAGCTGGCTTTGAAAATAAACCTCAGCGCTGCCACATTGGCCATAATATTTGGAAGCATTTCTTCTTTTGGAAAATAGGCCTGAAAAAGTGGGCCATCTTAAACCAGACATAAATGTCACTACGCATTCAACACTCTCTGTTTGTCTCTTACTCTTTTGCTATCGGTGTCTCTCTGACTGTCGCGCTGTCCTGGTTCATCTCTCTCTGTCTCTATCTCTCGCCCTCCCTCTCCGTGTCCCTCCCCTCTGTTGTGCTGCCTCTCTCTCTCTCTTTATTTCAATGCAGACCCACAATGAGTGCACACATGAGTATAGTTTATTTCTGTGTTAGTACAGTTAACCACTCGCACTGGTAGTTCTTGAGATGGGATGAAATATGCATAGACTATAGTTTGTTTTGTTTACTCCACTCTATGCAAATCTAATTTAAAAATGTGCCTACTTTTCTTTTATTGGTTTGGGTTCATTGTGTATAAAGACACCCTGAGGAAGGCAACTGTCCGTCCAGTCGAGTGCCTGGAATTGGATTCTTTATATCAATGAATGAAAGCATATTTTGTCCTTTTTTTTTTTAAATGTCATTTTCCCTCTCTAAGAGCAGCAGTGGGTGCAGGGGAAACCAGAAGCACTTATTCACTGGCCTTTTTCTGTGTCTACACTACATTACATTTTTATACATACATGTTTTCATTTTTATTCATGTACTGTATTCTATTTTTATCTAGACATGAAAAAAATACAATGTATGCAGTATGTTTCATAATCAAGACTTTCTATGGTGTTTGGGAAAGACAAAAAAAGTGAAAGGGACTGCACATGACCAGTTAATGAGAATGATGACAACCTCCCCATTAGAGAGAGCAGATATCAGAAAATGTGGCCCTGAAAAGAAGTATGATTACAGGGGAGTAATTGTACCTGAGGATGAGTTTAAATTCATGACTAACTGTAAAAAATAGCAGCATGTTATGTGTGTATACAGTATGCATGCATAATCTATATTTAACTGAGTGTACATTTATGTTTATCTACTTCATATATAATGATTTTTTTTTAAATAATATAATTGTATGTACACATTTATGCCCCTTCCTTTTGCAGTATTAGCAAAGATATACAAAGATATCCATTAAATGCCATTTGTGTTAATGTGGATGTGACTGAAAGATGCAAATATTGTTCTTTATCTGCATGCATCAGTGGGTGAATAAAAGTGAAAAAAAGAGTTAAGTGGTTCTCCTTCAGTTTTTCTCTGACAGGACAGGAGGACGAAAGGAGAGGGGGGGATTAAATAAATAGGCTCCAGTGTTGAGGATCTGTCAGACTGCTGCGACGTCAAAAGAATGAGAAGGAGAAGGAGAAAAGAAAGATTAGGCTTTTGTATAACTCGTTCTTCACTCAAAAACACACACTCACAACCACACACCACTAGCGCGCACACACACACACACACACACACACACACACACACACACACACACACACACACACAGCCTCCTTATTATTCTGTCAAAATGCATCTCTTTACAAATTATTTGTATGCAAGTGGGCTCGTGATTCAAGACAGAGGCGCTCTCTGTCCCAATCGGAGCTACAAATTCTAGATGTCCCTGTCTGGAGATTTGAGGGCTCGCAGGCAGATTGCATTCTGATGAGTGGTGCTTGAGAAATAAACACTATACCACTTCTCCCAAACTTAAAGGTCACATGCAACATCTCTAATGGAGAATGAGTTGAAACAGACCGTCACAAGGCGAAAGCTGATTCTCTTGAGTTGTACTTTTTAAAAAAAAAAAAGAATTTGGTTGATATGCATATTTTAGGAATCCCTTTCAACATTTAACAAATATTAATATCTGAATTACACACTAAGCATATAATCTTGTTTTTGAGTTGTATTAATCACTATTGAGGACAATGGTCAATAAGTATTGGTCAATGCCATTTTCTTTAAGTGACATAAGAATGTTTAAAGCAACTGTATTTCCACATTACTTCTTAAGGTAAATTTGGAGTTCACTAACAGCACATGCTCCATTTGTGGTTGCAAACAAGGAATATGGCTTACACTCTATGCCCTTTTGTCTACTGTGAACAAACGGCAAAGAATAAGTTTAGTTCATAAAAGTTGCATTAGTGACTTTTCTTCTGGCACTGATGTCTTTGCAGTTTTACTTCTTCTGGATTGACACTGTGCAGTGCACTAACCTTTTCTTATTTTTTGTTTTAGACAGCTGTGACACCGACAGGCAGGATGTGTAAGCGAGAGGACAGTCCAAGCTCTGTTGGGATTTGATCCCAGGCCAGCAGCTCAGGAGGCTGAGACTTTGTGTCTTTATGTGTCTCTATGTCCTCATTACATAATACAAATATCATTTGTGAAAATGATACATATTCATGAAGCATTTGGTTGTGATGACTAAAATGTGAGTGTGAGGCAAATGTAATTGCAATCAGAATAAATAAGACTCATCAAGTCATTCCTCAACTAAATAATGCATTACAAACATTACCTTGACACTGCCTTTTTTTCGTTAATTTGCCATTATACCCAAGAATTTATGCCACGACGTCTTTACTTATATGTGGTAAATTGCAAGTGAAACAATTGCCTATACTTTCTTTCTTCTTTGCTGTTAATTTTGGCTTTTTCTGTCTCATCATTTTTTGGCCATCCTGCACAGACATCCTTTTTTCCTATCCTAAAAAGTACTGACAAAACCTCAAAGCTAAATCTGTGTAAAGCTGGACATTTCATGGCTCAAAGCAAGTAGCGAACTGACCATCTGCTATTGGCTGATCTTTGGTGCCAGGTGATGTCACTGTCTGTTGTGTTATTCAGAGAGTGACACCACCTGGCACCACAGACTGGGAAACAGGAGATGGCCAGTTTAGTTCCCTGCTGTTCACCAGTAGATGTCAGGCTTCACACAGATTTGGGTTTTGGGGTCCTGTTACTACTTGAATCTGTACAATCATTTCTGTTACAGTGTGCACCAGGTGAAAGGTCCCCGTACCCCAGGACGCCAGGTATCAAAGACAGAAAGCAAGAGAGAGAAGCAGAGATCGTCATTCTGCGTGAGAGACTTACGTCAGGGCCTGGGAGTAGTTGAAATGAGGAGTGACGCCCAGGAACTTCTGCACTTCATCCATCACTGCTGCAGGGTCAGTTCTCAGCTGATGGCCATCTATGATCATCACCTACACACAGATACATTCACACTGTAACACTGGCTCCCACTGTTTACCTAACTGGTTAGTGCATTACAACCTGTTCAGGTGTTGGGTAAAAATAAAAGCACAGAGACAGCTTCTTCAGTGCAACTTGATCCACTTTAACGGCTGCCACAAAAGCTGGAAATCAGAACTCTGACAGCAGATGTAATATATCACTTCACTCTGGTTCCTTTTATGGTGTAGTGCCCTGCCAGGCTGAACAGTTAGCAGTTCCTGCAGGCAATGTGCAGGGAGGTGTCACTGTATGTAGTTTAAACAATCCAAAATACACTCAGTGACCACTCGATTAGGGTCACCTATACAATCTTTAGCAATTCAGTTCTGCTGTGAATTTAACCTTCTCTGAGTTCTTAATGTTCAGTTTTTGTTGAGTATAAATTCAATTAGATCTTAATTATTGAAGTCATGGTTAAAGGTGGTTTTATACTGCACTACATTATACTCAAAGGTATGTTCTCCCTATTTACATATATGAGGGGAGCAGAATATAAGAAACATCTCTGAATATAATACAATAGACTTTATGGCATAACAGTTGTATTGGATTACATTAGACTGCACAGGAGTACCTAATAAAGTGGGCACTGAGAGTATACATAGTCACCATTCCTTCAGTTGTGTCCCTTATCGCAGTTAACAATAAAATAAAAGAAGTTAATCTCAGCAATAAATCTTCAAACATCTTCAAAAGCTGTGAGCATACTGACCATTACTGGTCTGTGCGTGTGTTTGGTATTACAGTGCAATATATTGCAATTATCTGTGTACATGTACCTATAAGCCTGTATCTGTGCCTGTGCATACCTGGTTAGCAGGGTAGTAGGTGAGCCATCTCTCTAGGTGTGTGGAATAGAGACCGGGGATGAGACAGCGGCTCTGTAGGGAGCGCAGCTCGGCTGGTGCTCCCGGTTTTGCACTGATGACATCATAAAAGGTGAACCGCAGGGCAGCGTGGTCCTCATGAGCTCTTTGATGCTGGGGAGGTTAACAGATACAGCCAGATGAGCTTCAAAGAACTCGCTCTGATGGTACAATTGCTCTCATTCAATCTCTTAAACATCAAGCGATATTATTCACAACCTCGCATGAGATAGACTTTATACTATGGACGACGACATAACATTTAAGCTGGCATGTTGCAATGTCTCATTAATCAAACAGGCTTAAGCAGAAGATTTGAAGCTTGTGTCACATTTCACATACTGAGATGTATAGATAAATCATGCTCATTAACTTCCCACGCACACAGAGAAATAAGACTCCAAACACAATCTTGTAAAAGAACTCAATTCTAATCAATACAGAGATGAAGCACGTCATATAATGAAGTAGGCCGCTGTAGAGAGTTAAATACATACGCTGGCATCTAATATATTCTGCGTGTGTTTGTGCTCGTACCTGATACCAGCTGTAGGCCCTGTCAGAGGGGTTGATGAGCAGGGTGATGATCTTGGCCTTGGGCAGCAGGGCAGCAGCTCGCCTCGGGGACTCCTCTGAGGGGAAATAGTTAGCGCTCTTCTCAAACAGGAAGTCCGTGCTAACATTAGAGGGCACAGGGAAAAACTCCATGTACCTGAGGCAAAAGACACACAGAAAAGTGAGAGAAAATATAAATACACATGGGTACACTCACGATGTACGCCTCATACACAAGACACACAACAGCTTTACTGCAGACTAAGTCAAAAATTTACTCCATTCTTACACATTTTTTTCAAAGTCACACACAACTTCTAAAGTCAGAAAGTTATAGCCTCTTATCTGTGCCTTCACAATGACCCCAAAATAAACTTGATGACATAATTTGAACAGTGTTTAATGAAGAATTTCAGTGACAAGTCTTTTCTGGATGACTTCGGAGAATGCACCAGCTGTGTATCTGTCAGCTAAGTAACCCATTTATGGGTCAATTTAGGCAGCCATATGTCTGTTGGCTTACATTCCCGGGCTTAAAAGATCATTTAAAAGACATTGTTGAACTGTTTTGAACTGCTTAATGTATCATTGATGTCTGCAGGACACATGACAGCCTGTAAGAACCTCACAATATAAATTAGGGTTTTTTATAATCTGTCATTTCACTTTACGTTCTAACTAATAAAAGGCATGGAGAAGAACGAAAGACACAGGTAAGTGTGTGTGTGTGTTCACCAGTCAATTCCTTTGTGGTAGTTGTTGGTGTTGAAGAACTGGACCTCCTCATAAGTCTTTGGACTGGGGAAGTTACTGGAGATGGAGGGATGCATGAGTAGGAAAAGATAAAGTGCTGTCGTTCCTGGAAGAAAGGGCATAATTCATAACTGGCTCGTTAATTCAGCTCAGCAGAGAGTAGTAGAGTGGTGTGTGTATGTGTGTGTAAGTGTGTGTGTGTGTGTCAGTATGTGCTTGTGTGTGTCAGTATGTGCGAGAGCTGTCACCCACTGATCCATTCTGGATGACTTTTCCCTCCACAAGATTTATATCTTGTTGAGAATACAATGTGTGTGTGTGTGTGTGTGTGTGTATGTGTGTGTGTGTGTGTGTGTGTGTGTGTGTGTGGGGGGGGGGGGGGGGGGGGGGGGGGGGAGTTGTGGTGTGCAATGATCACAGTCCTCCCTGTCGAATGATTGAAAACCGTTTGACACCAATCAGCACTGGGGCTTTGGTTGTGCCCTCTGTTTCACCCTCAGCAGCTGTCTTGTTGCCCTGTTCCCCGAACACTTACTCCCACACATCCTACATGTTACATCTCCCCTTACCATATCGCCTATTTGCTTCAATATCTCTGACATGCGAGGCACACCCTTCAATAAAATGAGAAATTATTTTACTGTAATTGTTGTTGGGCTGCTAATGTTACTATAATGACCCTTCCTCCCATTTAGAAAATGATCACCTGGTTAATTAGCAGCATTACCGACTCTCCTCACCTCTCACACCAAACACCAGTAATTAGAATTCCTGAAATCACACAAGGCAACACTCGGGAGCCATATACATATACAGATTGTTAATAATCTCCCCTTTTTTTGTCCCTCTAACAGAGACACAGTAAGAAAAAGAAAGAGGGAAAGGGTTGGTAGCTCAGTACTGTATATCTGTGCATTTAAAGTAGATTGTATGTGGGTGGAAGAAAGTAAGTGAGAGCCTCCTCCTTTGTCTCCCTCTGACGGGACCAAAGGAATGAGGGGGATTAAATGAATGGGCTCTGATGTGGAGTATCTAGGCACCTGGGCACACAGAAGGAGTCTCTTTGTTGCATGTGGATGTGCATGTGTGTGTTTGTTTGTAGCTTACCTGTTTTCTGTGGTCCTATGACCATGAACTTGGGTAACCTGTCACAGGTTTTCTCTTTAGACCAGATGTCTTTATGTCGTTTGTCATCACATGGGTTCTGCAGGAGCAGAGGCAAAGAATTAGAGGTTAAAGTAATGATGCAAAGTAAAGCATACAAAGACATTAAGTGCACATAAGATTTACTACATAGAATGACTGAACTAAGGTTTTGTTATTGTGTCATGCATACCAGCATTCCCAGCCTGCATGGGCTAACAAGACACAACAAAGCCTTAAAAGCCAGCATACACATTTTCAAACAATAAAAAAGGTAAAAAATATAAAAACCAACTTCAAATCTATCACGGTCAAATCTTCATTTCAATGAACAACCCTGCACTGTCACATATATATTATACTGGCCTATCATCACTGCTGTGCCTCCTATTATTTATTTATTTATTTATGCTATGTATAATTACCATTGGCTACATATTCTTAGGCACTTTTTTTATCTATATCATTATTACTTTTATAGTATCACTATTGTTATATTATACTATTATAATATATACTTGTATTATGTATTACTACTACTACTAATAATAATAATAATAATAATAATAATAATAATAATAATAATAATAATATACAATTATTTTTATTCATATACTCTTACAGTTTTTATATAGTGGCATAGTAACAACCACGGTGGCAAAGCATTATTTGTAAATTATATATTTTATTTATATTCTATAATTATTCAATATAACCATATCGGGATAACTACATTGCGAGCAACTGTTTTATTTTGCTTCTGCCACTTTTAATCTGCTTAATATCTATTATTTATTATGTCAATCATGGCTACTTTTTACTGTGGTAACATTTGGGTGTTCACACAACAGCTTAAACCAGTAGTCATATGCAACACAGCTGCCTTCGTAGTTCTGTTCTGTGTTTATGCTGTATGTTGTGTTGCATTGTTTTTAGCACTTTGATCTGCGAGGAATGACATTTTGTTCAGCTGTATACTTTGTATGTGGATGAGTGACAATAGAGCTGACTTGACTTCATATTTTTGTTGTCTATGACAAAATTCACAAATCCCAACCAAAAACAATTTCTTTAACAATTCAGAGTAAATGCTGGTTACATAATCCATCTGCTCTTCCAGGTTTTTGAAACAAAGTTGGCAAACTAAGTACCAATCCAATTTTTGATCATCTGTGCATCAATATATATTTCAGGGTTTTGCTGAGTCATTTCATGGAAAATGAATTATTTTTTCTCCTCCTCACCTAAATCCGACATGTCTGTTTATCGCCTTAATATTTTACAGTGAGAAATAAATGATCTTACTGCATACAAGTGCACAGTAAAATGTGTACAGACATGAAACACACAAGCCCATACATGTGGGTAAATATCCACACAAACACACCTGCCAGAGAGGGTTCCTTTGTTCAGGGAAAAGCTGGAAGTACTTGTGTGCGAGCTGCAGGGGAGGGAGTGTGTGGAGTCTCAGGTTTGTCCACGAGCGAAGAAAAGAGGCCAGGTGGACGAACGTGTACAGACCTAGTCGATCATTGCCGTAGTTAGACAGGTGGGTCATGAATATACTGATCTGGAGTGGAGAACAGAGAAGGAGTGGGGGATGGAAGGGGAAAGGAATGGGGAGAAGGAAATACATACTTATTGTATTGTGCAAAATTGTGATAAAGTCAAAATCTCATTTCCCAAGTTCCAATGTTTGTGAAAAACGGAGGCAGCGCAGTAAATCTAATTACTGTTGTTGTGGCTGCAGTGGAAAGCAAACAGATTATTTCTCAGTGTGTGATGGTTTTAAAGTCACTAACAGAGCAGCTGTCCACCGGGTATCAATATTTGCTATCACTTTGCAAAGTGACACACTCACTTTTGTTATGTAAGATTGTAAATTAACTTTCAGGGCATTACAGCTTCAAGTATAAAGAGGAAAACAGATAAACTGAAACCGATGTATTCACCACTCCTAACAGATAAAGTTGAGGAGGCAGCACAATACTCCTCATAGCCACTGGGTGATGGGAGAGATGCAGCTTACACACAAGGGGGGGGGGTTTCAGAGTGTGTCGGAGTGTGTTCATGATGGTTAATGTGTGTGAGGGAGAAGGAGAGACTCGGAAGGAGTGAAGGAGCGATAGAGTGTTGGTCCAGGCTATCTGTCTACGCCTCAGTGCTTTTATAGGCTGATCAAAGAGACAAGCCAAGATAGCTGCTACAACCAAATGCGCACACACACACCACACACACATATACGCACATGCTTCTTTTGTGATTGGAGGGAGCTTGGGAACGTGAAGAGTCTGGATGAAAGGGTAACACCAGCCATTAAGATATGAATTATTTGGTGGATGTGAGCATGTGTGTGTCTGTATGTGCATGAATGATTGTGTGTCAGTATATTTGGTAGAATGCCCATGAATGTACGAACACAGACAAACACAGTGAATTTCCTGGTGACAGAGGACTGTCGGTGCTCCTCTTTAACGCTGAAGGTTGCCGTAGATACAAAGCGACACAGTGTCGGGGTTTGATGGATCAGCGTCCGGCCGACCTGGAAAGCTGTTCAGAATACTGATCACCTCCGAATACTGATGGGAAGAATGTGTGTGTGTGTGTGTGTCTGTGTGTGTGAGAGAGACACTGTGGGAGGGAGAAAGAGGAACAGACATGTGTGTCGCCACTTGTGTGTGTCTTTGTCACAAAGAAAGCAACAGTGAAAGAGGAGAGGGGAGCAGGGGTATGCATGTCTGAGTGATTTTTTATGTGTGTGCGAGTGTCTGTGCATGTCAGTGTAATTGTTTATGCATTTGTGCGTTTGTGTATGCCAGCGCAATTGCGTGCATCTGCCACTGCCTTCTTATCTTGTGCTCACTCTAAGCAAACCAGCAGCGTACCATCCAGCCTTGCCTGCTTCATATCAATCTAGCTGATGTTAGAGCAACAATGTGGAACCACTGTCGAGGCATCAACAAGCACTCAACCAGGAGCAACAGAAATACATGGCAGTGAAAACTGTTGGCGTGCTCCTCCTGTCCAATGAATCGTAATGTCAAAAAACCCAAAAGCTCCCTCTTCGAAGCATGAATGGAAAACTTGAAGCACTACTCTTAGAGAAGTGTCAAATTAAATTTGACAGCGTTTTACTGGAAACAACTATTCACATTTGGGACTGAGGAGAGAGGGTCTGATGTGAATATTACAAAATTAAAAGCTCTTGTAGTGAAATACAGTGAATGCAGACAAATCTGACCTGAGTAAATAAGATGCTATAAACTACGTTGAAGTCTCCCACCTCTCCCTTTTTGTGTTGTTTTGTGCTTTCTTTGAAAGCAGGCAAAGTGATCAAAAAGTGATTTATGTTCCCTTCAAACCACTCAATACCCTATGATGTCTGACTGTGAGGCTGTGAGGAGACAGGGTATACTGTAGGTATGTGCGTGGTGTATTTTTTCAGATGTGTGTGCAGGAAAGACAGAGAGAAAGGGAGAGAGAGCGAGAGAGATTGAGAGAGAAAATCTGAGTGTTATTGAACATGGAAACATTCATTATGGAGCTTAAGCACTGGCTGCCAAATTAAACAAAGGCAGAGTGGGAAGATGATTTGTGTTTGTAATTGGAGAACTGCAGAAAAGAAAGGGAAAAAAATCACAGAGAGTGGGTTAACAAAGGGGAAGATGAGAGAGTAACCTTGGCAGGTGAGTCTGAATGAAAAAACAAAAAGAGAGAGTGTTAATCTCCAGACTATGTGCAAGCCCCAAACACTTTTGGTGGCTAAGGATTCAATTAACTGAACCATATAAACCTTTTCTCAGCATCTAGTGCCACGTCTCATTCCCTGAATATTGGATTGCTTTGAGTCCCCTATGTGCCTTTAATAAAGAATACTGCGCTAATAATTTAACACCAGAATTGGGCTCAAATCATACTTGGAACTGGACTGGGAGAGAAATGTAGAAATAAGAGAAATAAATCCAACCCCACAGCCTCCCTCTTCTAATCTTTGTCCCTTGTCTTTCTCTCTTTGCTCCTATGCAGCTTCATTTCCCCCTTCTTATTCTTTGCTTTTAATGTCTTGCTCTCACTCTCTCGTCTGCTTCAAAAAGTCACTTCATGTTTTTTTTTCCTCCTCTCTCCAATCTCATGCTGACCTAGATGCTCTGATGAAGCATGTCAGTCCAACATGGAGTGATGTTCTTCAAAATACATACACACATGAACACACAGGCACACAAACACTCACATAAAAACACAAATGCCATGTCTTGGAAGATTAAGAGAACATCAGTCATGTATTTGAGTTTGTGACATGTTCCAATCCCCTTGAACATGATTTAATTTTTAAAGAAATTACTTGTTTTACTGGCTTTTGGTTGAGGATGTTTTTTTTCCACTTGTCTGTCTGTCTCTCTCTCGGTCTGTCGGTCTAATACTAAATACAAAGAGTAATTTCAAAGAGTTATTTTCTAAAAGCAATTTGAAATGATTGCATTGCTATTAGTGTTATATTATATAGTTTTTTTTCCAGTACATATTAATTGTGGCAGTACCTTTGCCATTGGGGAATCAAAAGTCTCAGAAGACAATATACATACTAAATATGGTCAATGATTTTTCTGCCACAATGCAGTGCACAAACAATATGGAGGAGCTGGTCACAGCTGGAAAAAAATAAAACTAATTGTGGGTGTTGAGGAAGACATTTTTCTTTTACTATGTGAAATTTAATTGACTGTTGCACTCCAGAGTCGTAGTTTGATCGATGTCTGATGTTGCACATATGGCATAATTTCCTGTCAGAATAACAGTTGAGTGTGTTGACTTTTTGTACGCCAACTGCTAAAACAGAAAATGCAGAAGCTGCTCACAGCTGGAAATTAAAACTAACTGTGGATGGTGGTGAAACAGCTACAGAAACTCTCTTAAATAAACCACATTTTGCTCTGTTTATATTAAGTATAAAGTGGGAGTATGTTAATTGCTATCTATCTATTTATCTATCTATCTATAGCCCCCCTTCTTCTACCTCACCCTGTCTGTCCCTGCCTTCTCTGCTGCTTCCTCTCATTGAATGTGTAGCCGTAGCTGCCTGTTTCCCATTACAGACCACTTAGTTCCACATACATTTCTCCTGATTGTTATTACTACTAAAGAGAAGCCTACACACACCCCCCCACTCTCCATTTTCATTCTTCATCCTCCCTCCTACCTTCATTGTGCTCTCCCCTCGTCTCGGCTCCCTTCTCTCTTTCTTTCTTACAGTCCATCTCGCTGTCTCTGTCTCATCAGTGGATAATTGAAAGCTGAACGTCAATAAAGCAAATGATTTCGATTCAATTTATTTTGCCAGCTCCAGTCAGCATCCACTAGCCCTGTCCTTTCTGCTGTCTTTCATTGCTTTACTCTCACTTTCTAATTTCTCCTCCTGTTTGGATTGTAGCTTATTGTGTGCGAGTATGTGTATGTGTGTGTGTGTGTGTGTGTGTGTGTGTGTGACTGAGAGTGTGTGTGTATGCGTGTGTGTGTGTGTTTGAGAATCTGTACGTGTTGATGAGCTGCCAAAGCCTTCAGTAGCAATCAGCAGGACTACCGAGAAAGGGAAGGAAGGAGTGGAAATGAGACAAAAAGAAGTGTTGAAAGATTCACGTGCGAGCACAGTCAACATGCACAAGTTGAAAAGTATAAAAAAAAACAAAAAACAGAAAAGATGACAGAGAAAGATAGAACCCACGGAAAGGAGAGGAAGGGTGAGGGATGTGAGGGTGCGCACTGGATAAAACAGAAGGCTGTGAAGGAGGGAGATTGTGCTGATATTTGGTGTTTGGCTAATAAGCTTAGTGGCAGAGCTAAGCGCTAAATGTCAGCCCTGATATATGTCTACAGCTCTGCTTATGTCAGCTGGACACACATTTATACAAACATGCACATGCACACCTATGCAGATACTTGGATTCTGACACACAATCACACGCCAGTGCATGTGTTTGTGTATTTGTGTATCACTGTGCGCGGGTCCGTATGTGCATCACTTCCTCTCTGAATGTGTCTGGATTCTCAAGTGACACAAGATGCCGTGACCTGAAAATTAAATCTCAATCTGTCTGCCACCTTCTCACCCAGCACCCCCTCCCCCTCTCCCCCTCTCTCACCATCTCCCTGGCCGTTTATTGGGGAATGACTTGTGCCCTATTGGCTGTTTGCAGAGTCTAGGTCGTCCAATCGATTGTCGAGCTTATGTGTGAGTTGGGGAGCTCAGTGACTGCTGATGCAGCCCAGAATGCTGTGAAAGTATCCAAATGCACATAGACACATGCACACATGCATGCACACACACATATAGCACATGCACCACACACATCTAGTATGTTGGTTGCTGTCAATGGTAAACTGCCCCCACAGGCCAAATGTGATTTAAAGTCACTGAATGGGAAGTGACAATGTTACCAATGTGCAGATCATCAAACAATAGGAAATCCCCAGGGGACTAAAGCAGTGAGCTACAGAGCACTATTGATTACACACACAAAGTGCACACACTAATGAAAGCTTGTGTGTCTGCAAATGGAAACAGCAGGCAGAAGTGAAAATGAATCATCCGCCTGTATGAATGCGTAAGCATGTGTGTTTGTGTGTGTGTGTGGACGCACGTCATGGCAGCTCTCATTTAGTGTTTAAATTGCTTTTATGTTTAATAGGTCTCTTCATTAAGAGATACAACAAGAGGAGAGTTTCATCTTTTGTTAAACTGATTAAGAAAGGGATGGAGTGAGAGAGAAAGACAAAAGATTGCAGAAAAAGTGGGAAAATGTAATTAGCCTCCGTGTGTTTCTGGCTCTCAAGAAGAATGTCAAACCTTTATGTAATATATATGTACCGGTATGCCTGTGTGTGTGTATGTGTCTGTGTATATATCCAACAGTGGATCTTCCAGTTGTTGTACATCAGAGGATAATTTAGAGGTCCACTGTTGGTCATGCCATAAATCATGCTAAAATTAAGTCTAAAACTCCATTTTGAATTTATTTTAATCATAGCAAAGAATTGACCTGCAGGTGTTTGAGTGTTAAAGTTCACACTCAGCACTGCGTCTTCAGGCTGAAGCAGGGATTTTAACGACTCATTCACACACACCTCCACAGTGTGAATGGTTTGTAGCCCCAGGCAGGCTTTCAGAAGACAGGCTGGCTGTTTAACAGACTGCATACTGAAAGAATAAGTCTCCTTCAACACTATTTTTTGGTATCTTTCTGTAAAAAAAAAAAAAAGAAAAAAAGTTTCAAGCTTCAGTGTATTAAAATGAAGAAGGCAGGGGAATAAAATTATTTTTAGAATCTAATAATAAGAAAAACAATGAGGATAAAGTTGGAATTAAAAGGGTCATATGAAGATAAAGGTAGTTTTCATTTAAAGCCCCCCACCCACCTTTTCCAGCAGGATTGGATCTGATGGTCCAGGTACTGACAACAGTCAGGATTCAAACCAGACACATGGTCACGAACAAACCCATCACGCCACTGAATCCCCTTCACACTGGGAGCTTTTCTCCAAGTGCTTTTCAGCCTTTACTTTGGGTGGTGCACTTCAAAATTCATAAGTCTCGTAAGGATTGAACTCACAACCTCAAACCTTCCATGCAGTCCTCCAACAGCATGAGCTTTCTGGTCAGACGTTTGACCTTTGTTTCCCAGAGCCTTTGGATGTCTCCTCAGACAAGTGTTGGACTGCTTGGAAGTTCTGAAGTTCAGTTTTTATGAGATTATAAGTCCAACACCCAAAGTGAAGAAGCAAAGGCTCTAAGAAATACAGTTCATAAGTGTTGGACCAAAGAGTTCAGGGTGTTACTGAAATCTGACTGAAATTTTGAGGCTATGGGTTCAATTCTCCGGTAACTTATTGAATTTTGATGTCCGACTTCCAAAGAACAGACACAAAAGCTTTAAGAAACACTGCTGAAATGGCCCCCACCAACTGGCTCAAGGACTCAGAGGCCTACTGAGAGGTTTTGAGGTCAAAGATTCAATTATTGAGATGCTCACTAAATTCGGAAGTCAAATGTCCAATGTGGAGAGTGTGAACTTCACAATTCCAATACCTGCAGGTCAACTCTTGGCTATGATTAAATTCAAAATAGAGTTGTAGCATGATTTACAGCACAATCAACAGTGGTCTGTCCCCTGATGGCTAACAGGTCCCCTGTTGCATAGGTACACAAGCACACACACACACACACACATTAAATTATCTGTAGAAATGTTTCCGGCACTAATCGCCACCTGAGGAACACACAGCTAAGTCACACCAGAAACATAATGATAACAAAAAAACATCATGAGATTTTTCAAAGAAAATGAACACCACACAAAAAAACAGACTCTTTCTACCGAAGCCCAGATAACAGTTAGGAAACTGAGCATTAATATTATTATTACAAAGCAATGTTTTCCAATTAATTTAATTCACTCTAATTTTTCTAAAGCCGCTTTGTTGTTGTTTTAATTGCATTTTATAACCCAGTTACGAAAACTGTGTTTATATTGTTATACTGTATAATGCTATTATAGCATTACACTATTATAATTATAATTGTCTTTCTTTACATTACAGTAGCTGCACTGAAAAACACAGCATGTCAGATAATTGTTAACACTGCCAGGATAGATTAGTACATCATCAGTCATGCATTCCTGTCTGCTGGGGCTTTATGTGAGAAAGTACCACATCATAATTAAGGTCTATATATGTTTTGCAATAACACTTTTTATTCTCAAGTGGTACTTCCTTGGTCAGATATTGGGATATATTTATACATCTCCAAACTGAAATGAAAAAACTTGACTTTTAGAAACATCAGAATAAAAGCCAAATAAATAGGCTGGAGTTACCTCGAGTTTATGGGCAAGGAATGTTTACTCAGTCCAGCCATCTTCTGGGTCCATTCAGGTGATTTGAGGAACCAAAAGGCAGCCTTTGTGTACTGTGTTATTATAGAGGAAAAGTTTTAAAGTTCGAGGTGCGTTAATGTAAATTTTGTAAGAGCAAGCTTGATAATACCATTCAAACTGGCCATGTCAGTCATTTTTACAGACTGCTTGCTTGCATACCTGTAAAGACTCATTTACCTCCTTTTAAATCTGAAGTTAAAATAAAAAAAATTAAAAAAAACTCAGGTTATAGGGCCCTATTGGAAATGAAACCCTTGCTCAAATATAAAACTGCTGGTCTTCCTAAAAGTATGCTGGCTTGTGCTGCTCATGCTAAGTGCAACAGACATTTAATTGCTAAGGGCCACATAATTATCAGTCCCTACTAATATTCATTCAATGGAGCATGGTCAAATTGGCTGCGAATAGGACTTTATATGAACAGGTGACTGTTTGTTTGCAAAAATCTCCCTGCTGACTCCTTGTATTCATACAATTTGTCTCACTTAGTGTAACAATACATAACAAGCAATTCAGCCCGCAAAATCACTCCACCCGTTAGACAGGAAACGGTAAATTAAACTCGCTCTAATTTTTACTCTATACCAACCACCTAGTTCTTTGCCTATTATTAGAAAACAATTACTGCTGTTAGGGGAAATGTAAAAACACTTTTTGTGTTACCTAATTCAGAGAAGTTAGGAACAGCGCAATTAGGCAATTTTAGAGTTATTTTGAACTGAATATAAACTGATTCCTAATTTGTGATATCAACTGTCATTTGAGAGGAGTACAAGCGTATACTGTGTTTCTATGCAAATGTTATATATTATTACCATTTTGAAAGAGTAAACACAGGGATACAGGCAGAGACACAGAAACAGACAGAATGAAAAAAAGAAAAAAAAAATCTAAATAAATCAAATGAACAGAAACAAAAGAATGGAAGACAAAATAAACACAGAAAGAAAAACACAACGAAAAAAGCAAAGAAAGAATGAATCAAAGAAAGAAACAAAAGAAAGGCATCAGGAAAAAGAGCCAAAATAAGAAAGAAATAAAACGTAGTAACAAAAAGAAAGACAGACAGAGACAAAGTGGTGCAGAGAGAGAAGAAAGGGTTGGATTGGGTTGTTGTGCGAAGCTGCACGACTCTATGATGTTCCCTGAGTTCTGACAGCTCCTCTAGTTCAGCACTCCCCTACCTGACACTTCAATACAGCCTACTGCTGCTCCATGAGCATTTTTGTGTGTGTTTGTGCATGTGCATGGAACGAGTGTGGTTCAACTCAGAGAGAGATTGTTTGGGGATAATGCGCTTGTGAGCACGTGCGCGTGGACGAGCATCTTAACCGCCACCAAACCCTAATTCTGTTCCTTAATTCAAAGCAGAATCAAGTTGAGCTGACATACACAGCGGGGGTAAGCACGAGCGGAAGGGTGTGTGTCAGTGTTTGTGTGTGTGTGTGCATGTGTGTGTGACAGCAACCCCCCTGTGGTGAGACCTAATTTAAAGTGGGGAGATGAACACAGCTCCACAGTGAGAAGCAGCCCCTGACAGGAAAAGAGACAGATGCGCACACACACGCACGCACATACACACACATACACACACACACACACACACACACACACACACACAAAGTAAAAATGAAAAAGAATGAACCAGACAGGGAGGAAGTTACCTTTACAGAGGGAGAGAGCGGGAAACCCAGTTGGTGCCTCTTTAAGGTGCAAAAATCAAAATAGAAAGCAACAGTCCTCCCTCTCTGTATATCCGCTTGCATGTGTAAGAGTGTGTGTTTGACTGTGTATGTGGTTTCTGTGACTCACTGGGTTGAGCAGCACGGTGAGAAATAGTTCTCCCCCATGGATGCTTTTGTCCAGTTCCTTAGGTCCACCAGGGTATTCCTTATAGTAGATGGTGTGAGTAAACAAGCCGCATGTCTGGCGAGGCAGCACCTACACACACACACATACACACACACCAAAGGGAGGAGTTGTTAATATCTTTCACATCTTCAGTTTACAGGTGCTGACAAACAAATAGCTTATGATAACAGCAGGTACTAATTTCTAGGACAAAATGAGAATCTGTTGTTTTCAATGACCCATCAAAGAGTACTCCACTGATTTTGTATTGCACTCCTATAACACTATAACACCGGCATTTTAATCAGATTTCACTCAGCTCCCTCTGGAGCCACAAAAGACTTCATACAGCTTTTCCCAGTTATGCATGACTACTGCAAAGACCTGTAAGCAGACTTTAATATGTAAAATCAGTGGTATTTCCCTTTAAGTAGCATATGAAATCACTATGAAACAACGATTTTAGATTAAAAAGGTAACTAAAGCAGGTGGTTCCTGATCAATCACCTATTTCAAGGCCAAAGTACAAACAAACCAGCTACAAAGATGTAAAACAACAAAAGTAATTTAGCTAGCCGCTTAAAATATGACAGATGTATGGCTGAAGCATACAGCTGTAGAGTTAAGCTCTTCTACACAGCAGTTAATAAATATGAGAAGCGGGCAGCAGAGCAGGTCAGGGGTACTGTGATGTGTCATGTCATACAGCATATGGTAATGTTAATTATCACAGTGAAGAAGCACAGGTGTCAGTTCTGCAGATGGTTCAAGTCACATTCTTGCAGTGTGTAACAGACCTTTTTCACAGCTGGCATTTGGACTTGTCATAGGATAAAAAGCATGAGTGTAATTAATAACACAATTGATGGCTCTGTTCCATTTAGGTGTTCCAGTTCTAGGACTCTTCTATTGTGCATGTGGCTCACTGACACAGCTTACTGGGACACTTAAATAGAAAGGAGCTGTCATTAAATGTCATTAGTTCCACCTGTGCTTTTCCTATTATGACAAGTCAACATGTCTGCTGTGAAAAAGGCCTGTAAGTGTCAAATTAGGGTTGTCAAAGGACGCACCATTTCCTGCCTCCAGTGTGCTTGAGCTATATAGCATTAGTCCTGAAGAGCTGCCCAGCTGAGATTACTTCACTACAGCAGCAGAGACCCTATTTTCATGCAGGTGCATAGCACAACGCATTGATTTGCACTGGTGAAGTTCAATCTTCCTAGGGCACTGTTAATTTTTTTTTTTCCTCACCTACATCTGTTTGGTATTTTAGTGACTCACTGTTTACCGAAGCAGGAGGAGATGATAATGGATTACTTCTAATCCCTCCTCGAACAGGTGCACTGCGCACCCTTGGCCATGAAAATACTTAAAGTACACTGGCACGCCTTCTCTGTGAGTTGCATACTCTGTGTCTTGATTGACGAAAGCAGGTTCCCAGATGTCAATTTCTCAGATTCTCTTTATCGCTACAAGTGAATCTAACAATGTTATGGTTGGATAAGCGACAGCAACAACTGAGTCAACAGTAGTATCATTGTTTTTGGCTTTAACTCTAAGATCTAATGTTGAATGAACTATCAGGGAGACTTTATAGCTTACTTCAACTGTAATATAGCATGCTCCAAACAAGTCAAGGCCAATATAAATATATAAATATTTAATTATTTTATGCTTATACTTTAAAAACCCACAAATGATATATAAACAACCATAAAAGACCAGTAGGGTGCAGGATCAAGTGTCCAATAGCTGATGAATGAATTGCTTTTTCATTGGATCATTAAGAGAAGAGAAGAGAAGAGAAGAGAAGAGAAGAGAAGGGAAGAGAAGAGAAGAGAAGGGAAGAGAAGAGAAGGGAAGAGAAGTCTTTATTGTGAACTCCTTGTGGAGCACTTCTCTGTGTGAAATAGAGAGTAAAGGCTGGAAGCGTAGATATTGGTTTATCTATAAAACACCCCAGACTCGTTCACACTCACACACACACGAGGGAGAAGGACAGAGAGAGAGGGGAGAGAGGGAGAGAGGGAGGGAGGGAGGGGGAGAGAGAGAGAGAGAGAGAGAGAGAAGGCCACCAGAGCCACAGACACTCAGCACTATTTCACCAAACCAATTATCCACAGAGCTATAGCTCAAACTGATATAGTACATTTTAAAAAGAAATACACACACACAAGTATGCATGTTTGCGCAAGTGCATGCACACACGCGCGTGCATGCACGCACACACATGGCACAATCCCATATCTCAGTCTGATTTGTTCTGATACTGTGGGTCCAGTGGGTGGCTCTCAATCTGCTGACAGAGACACACAAACACCAATTTTACAGCCTTAAGACAACGTCCTGTCCTCCTTGGAGCAAACAAAGATGGAGTGAGAGGCAGAGGAGAAAGAGATTAATAGACAGAAATTGCAAGAAAAATTGGAAGTGAAAAAACGGGAAAGCCAGAGAAAACAGGGAGGATGTGAATGAATGTTTCAGAGTAACTTTACGAGAGGTCAGGAGGCTAGATGAATTATCAGAACCTGAAAGCTCCCCAGCCGGTTTATGATGAAGTCATTTAAAATTTAAATTCAGCATGGACTGAGGTGCACATACAGACACATGAACAAATCATCACACAAAAACTGCCTCTCAGAAAAATGTTCCGCCTCCATGAGCTAAGCTTCGAGTTTGTTTTTCCTTTTTCCTAGCCTCCCTTTGCTATTTAGTCAGTGCAGCATGCAATGTCTTGGAGCAAGAGATGGGCCTTTCTCTATATTGCTGCGCTGCTTTCACATTGCTCCTCAGTTTTAAATATTTAATAATGGCTACTAATACATATTTTTGCATAAATACAGTTTTGTAAATAGCATTAGACAGAACAATGTGATCTGAAGGTCTATTTAGTAACTGTATCTTTTCATCAGATCACATGATCTTTGTTTGCAGATGGATGATTGCTTAGTTTTTACAGAATTGCAGATGTTTTCATTTCTGTTACTTTAGTCTGAAGACTAAGGACTCTTCCATCATGTCATTCTCAACCTTAGAAACAGCTGTTGACAACATAATGTCACCTCAACTTCTGGTCACTTCACATGATCTTAATTTGAGGACTCCACATGCTGTTGAAGATTATGTGATATAATCAAAACCTCCACTAATTTCATAACACGTTACATGTGACTCCTTTAGCAGACCTCTGACCTAAATATCTGACACAAGTGCAGGATGGCCCCAGACTGGAGAGTCTGAGACTCTGGAGTCTTTATAGTAAATTGACATGATCAACAAGCCATTACTTCCTTTCGTGACAGACCTGAGACATGAGGACAGTTCAGCTCATGCTAAGTGATCACCAGCTTTCAACAATGAATCTGATTTGCATGTATTCTTGCTCTCCTATCAGTGTGATTTCAATTCATGAGCAAAATTCCCAACAGGAAAAAGAGAAAAGAAGTTTATTCCAGCCAAAAGAAAATGTATTGATAGCTCTTTTTGAAAGATGATAGGAAAAGAGGCTTCATAGAACAAGCTGCATCCATCGCTGAGGTTGATGGTAACTTGACAGTAATTATTGTTGGGGATTTCATTTCAGTCTCTACTTCCTCTCTACTTCCACTTCCTCTATTCTCCTGGTGGAAAATAAGTTGTTTTCTGAAAGTTTTTCTTTGTTGTTTTTTTTCTGTCTATCTCTGTGATATATCGTGTACTAAAATGTTAGATGTGTATTTTTGTTTAGTGGCTTGTTACTTAATCCAGTGATTCACTGATGCTTCTCAATACCTTTGTATTGATAATGTATAATATTACATTATAGCCTGTCAAACTGTAAGCTTGGCATTGTATTAGAAGGAAGTGGCTGTCTTTTATGACTCTGTGACAAGATGACAAGAAATAAAAGCAGACTTCTAGGACTGATTAGGAAATTGACGTAGCTGTCTGTGCAAATTGTTTGCTCAAGACCCAAATACAGCAGAACAATGTGGACTGGTAATTTTGGTGTCAGATGTGATTGGTTCTTTTGTCAATAAGGGAGCAGTTGTGCACACTGACAAAGAGCCTGACTGACAAGTGAATGAAGAGGAGGAGGAGGACAGAAAGAGGGAGGGATGAAGACAACTTACTTAAGTGAAATGGGCATTCTGTTATACACATCCTGCACATATACAAATGCACACTCGCATACACACAGAAGAGAAAAAAAAAATAAGTTCACCCCTTCAGCCACATAGGGAAGCCATTAAATATTGAATCAACGTGGAGCTGAGCATGCCGTGGTGAGATGAGGTCATAGAATTCATATCACACTTATACGCAGAGGTTACACACCACGAACAGCATCATTGATTTTTTTGTTTAAGACTGCAAGAAACAATCAGCATGCAATTTACTATTCAACAAACACCTATTTGCACAAAGAGACAGCAGATAAAAACTGTTTTTCAAAGTAAGATAAGAGAACAGAGCAGTGAAGCAACATATCCAAACCGACTCTTGTGACTAAATGACTCTGCATTGATTTATAACAATTTATAATTCATTGTTTTAATTTCAGTCAGATGAATTACGCAAACAATTTTTCCCCCTGGCGGGCAAGGACACTACGTAATGTGCATTGAGTGTTAGGTTTGATTCATGACCCGTGCACAATCAATGGTGTTATGTTATGAAACACACATGATAACTTAAAAAAAAAACAAAAAAAAAACACTTGGCTGTGATATCTATCATGTTTATCTGACCAACCCGACTCACCTCTTTTTTTTTTCCAAACACACACATCTGTCCTCCGTCTGCCAGGCCAAGATATTTTATAAAATGTGTCTACACACAGCAACATCACTGGCTTGTATCTAGTGACAACGACAACCAACAGCTGTGGAACAACAAGCTTAATGAAAATTACCTCTGAACCTTTAAAAGATGAACTTAGCCTCACAGTAGAGAAAATACAAAATAATCATAAAGATATTTGCCAATTAAATAAAATCCAACAAACAGGTAGTTATTAAGGTTCATGTATGTGCAGAAACATGTCAGTTGATCAAAGTGTATACATGGATGTGAATATGGATGAGCACATTTGCGTGTGTGAGCATGCGGCGATGCGGGTGCACTCCTGAGGCTTTTCACAGACGTGTAATTAACAGCGATGTCTCCTCACCATGATGTTGCTGTGGATGAAGCCCTTGCGATAGCGAGCAGGCTTGAGGTGGGGGTACTCTTCGGTGCTGGTTACCCGGATGTTCCACACACGTCTCCATGCCTCATACAGCTGCAAGTGCACCGGGTATACACCTGAGTGGTGAGGGGCCACAGCGTAACCCATGTCCACTGGGATGTTGTCTACCTGGGGGGGGGGGATATACACACACATACAAGGACACATACATGAAGGTTATTTACATAAACACAAAAGTTACACTACATTTACAACTACGGCAAAAGACATGACAGCACATAAACACACAGAGCCCGACAGCCTGACCTTCTAGAAGAAGCACTTGGTTTGTGTTTTGTTTGTTACGATGCTGGCCTTCAGGTTAGAAATTTTAAAAAAATACATAGTTTGTGTGAGCATGTGTATCTGTGTGAGTGTGAGGGTGGATGGTTGCTGGGTGCATCTCACAGACTGATGGTGTTGTCCTTGGCTCTGACACACACCTACACACACTGTCAAAGCTAAGCATCAGTGGCCAGGGGATGAGGGAGTGGCATATGTATGTGTGTCTACAATAGAGGTTAGGGATCACACTTTATGATCACATTCACCTTCAACAACATGAACCGACCCCTCCACACTTCACTGTATTGTACGTGCGACACAGCACGGTCATACAAATCATTGCCACCCACTCACACACACATACCAGCAATGCAGAGGAAAACCAAGCAGAGCAGAGCAACAAAAGCACTCGACCTTGTGGACTTCAGATTAAAAAGGGCTCAGATGTGCCCATCAAAATAAAGTGCATCATTCCCAACTGGGATATTTTTCTTTGTTTGTTTTGTTATAGAAAATGAGTACATGACACTACAATTTGTAAAAGCATTCTCACTGTGCTGACAGAAGTGTGAATGTTGTTTTTTGTTTCATTAGTCAAATGTCAAACACCTGAACACCTGCCCAGCCCACATGAGCTTACAAGACCATACTTACATTACCTACAGACCCAAGACAAAGCAAGCCAATATATGGTACTGTATACATATGTCAAAACAGTTATATTAGCTATAAACAACAGATTAAACTTGCAACTCTCTCATGCGCATTAAATGAACAGTACACTATGAAATGCATTTCAAGTAAAATTATTTTCCTACTGTATTCTGGCTCAGGGGATAATTTTAAGTTTTCTCTGCCGCCGGACTTAGTTTCAAGGCCGGAGTAGGTGGTGGTGATTGTCACTTGACAAGAGCTTCAGCCATCGTTGTCTTTATAATAGCCTACGAGTGGTTACAATACTACACGCTCTGAGCAGCGCTACTTCTTCTGGGCAGACTGGAGGCTACAGTGAGCCGCTACCGGAAAGCGGCGAGATTGGCTGGGGTTAGCAGATAAGCATGCTAACTTCAGTAAAAGAAAAGACGTGATAGAGACAAGAGTTAACATGACGTTGCTTTCCATTGCTGGAAACAGCTCTTAGGGAGTAAAGGAATGAAGTTTGATGCTGAACTCACTACGTTTCGTCTAGACCGGTAAGTAAACAACTGTTCGTCCTGACGTTGGCTATGTAGCATTACACAACAACTAGTTCCGACAAAGTACTTTGGTTGGACGTATGTATCACTCCGCTTCACAGGTGTTCTGTTCACGATTAATCAGCGTTAACGGTTGTTATCTATCTTAGATTGTAACAAACTTTGCAAAGATCTATATATTTCCAGAAATAACATGAATTAAATGATGTATGATCGTCAAAGGAGGATGAAGGGAAGGAAAGAAGCCTGGATACTTCAGCGCACAACTGAGGTAACGTGTAGACAAAGTAGAAAGTTAGAGTGCACTGTGTAGGTCAGGAAAATGTTTGTGTTACTTAGCAACAGTCCAGCAACAGTCGAGTTGCGAAACTATTTGTATTCGGGTTGCCAAATAAATGATGAAATAAACAAACAAATCATAATCTGTTGTTGCTTATTTAACTAATATGGCGCTCGTAGAACTGTTGTATAAAAGCAATATCACACTCCAGGTCGTGATGGTATACTGAATATCAGCACAGCGCTGATTCGGTCTTAGGTACGAAGCCGCAAGCTAAAATTAAAAATAGCTCCTAGCCCCAGATCTAGGTCAAAACCATGGTCAAAACACAGTATATATTGGCATTGGTCCAATCCTAATTTTATTACCGCAACGGCGTCTGACAAAATTACCAAACACATAAATTAAAGACAAAGACTGCTGTGATTTCAGCAATATTTATAACAAACATAACAGACATAACATAACAGACTCCTGCCTGTTGTGTTAAATTTACTGCTCAATGTTCATAATACAAACTCAACACTTCCTGTAATCGTTTCAGATTAAAAGCCCTCTGGTGTTTGAGTGGACATAAACCCTTTATTTCTTAACAGGGCTTTTATTGCTGTGCTGCAGTAAGCATATTGTCTCATTTGTGGTTGCTGGTGTTTTTTACATGCTATTCAATCTGCTAGTTTCTTCAGCAGTTACAGATGAGCTCTCTCCATCTCTCTCTCTGCTTGATGTGTCTTATGTTTAGTTATTCCTCTGCCTCCCATACTAATAATGATACATGTAATGGAGGCAATTAGTTTGCTGTAATAGAGGTTATGCTCAGTGTGCAACTTTCCAGCAGCCGGGAAACCAGAGTGGCTCCATAGACTGGCCTTAACAACCCCTGGTTGACATCCATACATGGTCCAGCCATTTACCAGGTTCATACCTAGTCTTTTTTTAAAATACAAAGTCTCAGAATCTAGTGACAGTGCGTAGTTGGCAACACTCTAGACTGTAAACACCCCCCAAAAAGAACCTGTTTGCACCAGAAACTCCAAGTCAGTGACGAGGCACTCAGCTGGCCAGTGGTGGAATTATGATCACTCAGTCAGCCAATCAGTCAGGGACATTCCAGATTATAGGGTTGGCCCTGCTGTTGTGTTCCATCCAAAAGAATTGCATACAGTATATGCAGCTGATTTCAATTTGCAATATATGCCCAGAAGGAAGTGTAATGCATCCCTCATTTTGTTTTTTTAATCAACATACTATTTACATTGAACACAACTGCAAAACATGTAAATTAAAACATTTCAAACAAAAACCTAACAACACTTAAGACATAGGATGTGAATTCCCAGTCTCAGAGTTCACATGTGCATCATGTCTGTAATGTGCCGTGGCAAATAAATAGTTATATTTACTAAACAGCAACAGACAACCTTGAAGAAAATGCAATCATGAGGAGCAAGCATGATTAAAAGGACACGCAAGAAGAAAGCAACAACAAAATAGACAGCTGCAGGAAATGTGTGTGCGTGCGTGTGTGCGTGTGTTAGTGCGCGCACACATCCATCTCACCAGAGCGAACTCCTTGTTGAGGACCATCTGCTCCAGCAGCGAGGACTCGTTGTGGAAGAGGTGAGGCTGCATGTGGCTCCACATGTGGGGGAACCACCAGAACTCATCCACATACTTCAACAGTAAGTCGTCTCCCTCATCCTCCTCTGCTGTGCCTGCACACACACAAAAACACACACGTGAACAAGGACAAAAGGACAGAGAAGTAGACATGCATCATGGAGATTAAGAGCATATTAAAAATGTTTGTCATACACAGCTCCTCACTGGTATAAGGTTAGAGTATACAGTATATCATCAAGCGACTGGGTTGTCTTAAAGCACAGTCTGATACCATGGTGATGAAAAGTGATGCCATAGCAATAACAGATGCTATGATAATATCTCCCATTCAATATCATATTTCTTCTAATTATAATCATGTTCAGTCTCAACTCTATTTTCCTTTTGCAGTGTATCCTGCTTCTTTGTTCTCTTGCGGCAGATTTAGACACTTTAACTAGGAAATCAATAAAATCCGTCCTTGGAACCACAAGAGAGCTTAGAATGTGCAGCAGTATGTCACAGCCTCACAAATATGCCTGTATAAATATTACTCTGTACCTCAAAATCTAGAGGTGGTGATTAAAAAATAGCATAATTTACACACTATAAGCTTTATAACTGAGTGGGACTGATTATTCCCACTAAGACCACTGTGCTGCATATTCATCTTTTCTTTAGTCAATCATATTTGGCAATTACTGTACTGCTGCCTTAAAGTCTAATACCCCATACGTGGTTTATCTTATCTAAATGTATTTTTCTACTTTAAAAGAATTCATTAAATTTACTACAATGATCAGAATTAAATAACTGTTTATTAATAAATGTTTTTTTATACATGCATTGCCTCTCTACCTTATTTTGTATTTAATATCAAAGTGTAAATAGTCAGTTAACAATTGCTTGTGTGCTATGTACTGTATGTTTGGATGCACAACAGAAATCATCACTGTAAACATAATTGGTTTATATCAAACTGAAATGATAGGTTTGATCCAACTGCTTATAGTGCGTGCTACCACTTGTCAAACCGCAAGTATATAAGGCACACAAGTTCTATCACAACTACTCAAAGTTATAAGAATAGTGTTATTCAGACCTAATAACTGCTCTTACTGACTCAGATCAATGCTGAGTGGCATCTTACAGTAATATAATTTATAAAAATCAGTTAATACCATGTAATTGGCCATTCCATTTTTCAATTGATGGATTGTGATGGGTGCCAACAAATGTTACTGTAATGTGAAAATTTCCATTTAGAAAAATTCCATCCTTGCATTTCTTCATGAGACCAAATAACAGTTGAAGATGTTTAGCTCCACAAGGTCCTTGCATGACCTTTGAGATAAAATGTTTTCGTGAAAGTAGAAGTGAAAGTAAAAAGTGAAAACAGGCACATTTTAACATGAAACTGCCATAAATGGTATGCTTAGTTTGAAACACATGGATAGCTCTTATTTACAGTAACAAAGCAAAGTACTTTATCCAAAACCTTTTGAGTGTCTACAAAAAAAAACCCACGTAGTAAATTAATGCTATACGGTAGGAATCATTCAGTCTAAATGATAAAACACTTCTTTTTTTTTTCTTTTTTTTACAGTTTTATTGTGTCAGTCATCATATTATATTTATTATAGTGAGTTATCACTTATATATTATGTAAAATGGAGAGCATATAAACAAAACACACCTGTGTGATAAAACTTCCCAGAGAAGCCAAGATTGAAGGTAAAGTTGGAGATCTGAGAACGCAGTTGTTTCTGAATGTCAAGGAGAGCCTATAGATAGATAGATAGATAGATAGACAGAACATAAGAATGAACATTAGTGACAGAATCACAGTCAACACATTCACTGTATATCAGGTTCATCTCCCCCCAGCCTGCACTCATACAGATAAACACCCGACCTGTCTGACACAGGTCTTAATGTCTCTCTGTTGTATATTTAAGTGAACCCTCTGAGAACCATCATGATGGCTGTGTGTACTCATCAGTGTTTATCCAATGGCAGCAGTCACCAACATGCTAGTACAACAGTGTGCTTGATTGTACTGTCTGCTGTTATGCTGCTCTCTGCTTTGCTCCAGAGGCTATTCCTGTCCTTAAAGTTACCTCAGTCTCTGGTTTCAATACTTGAATCGGGATTTTCTCTACTTATTTGATGACTTCATTAGTTTACTGGCCTTTAAACAAAGACTCAGTAATGAGTGTTAACTAAAGAGAGTTGCACAGTCGCACACACAGTCACACACACCGACAGTAATGCGAGTTAATGAAGGTCAGTGCATTAGTAGCCTCTGGAGGGTGGACTAATAACCACCCCTACCCCAGCCCCCTCCCACACACGTACACACACACACACACACAATCCTCCCTCCTCATCATTCCCTCCATCCATCCCTAACACTACCCCGTGAAACCTTGTAACCCCCCCTCCACCAACACCACCACCACCACCACCACCTCACCCTTCTCTCTCCCTTCTCTGCTAAATCTGATTCGCTCTCTACACTTCCATCTTCCCGCTTCTGAGAACCTGCAGTCGCCTCTCTGCCCCCCTTCCCCATTTGTCTACCACCCCGTCCGCCCACCCACCCCCCCACCCCTTCTCTGAACCTCCATCTCTCCCTCGCTCGTTCCGTGAAAATGTCACATTCTCAGGAGACGGGGCTGTTCTAATTTGAAAGGAAGGCTGAAGCAGCATGGAGGAAAGATCGCTCTCTCTTTTTACAACTCCCTCCCCTTGCTCTTTACCTCACGCTCTCCCACCCCATCTTATTGCTATCATTGCAAGTCCCTCTGTTTGCTCCCACACAGATATTTTATTTATTTATGAAATTCGAATATTCTCTGTATATTTCAATCTGCTGGGCCTTTCTGTTGAGCTACGAGCCACATCTCTATTACTGGTCTTTGTCATGCTGCTTTTAATCGATCCCCAGGAACCTTCCCTGATTTACAAGACCTGAGCAGCTGATGTCAGAGCAAGGAATTGGTTCCAGGCAGTCTCATTCTCTCCCTCTCTCTCTCTCTCTCTCTTTCTTCACCCTTTTCCTCCCGTGTGTCTCCCAAACTAACAAATATACAGACACATGCACAGTGTCTTCATTATCGCTAATCTAATGGTGTTGAAGACGGCTGCATGCTGACAGATGTGCACAGCCCCCTAATCTGATCCCCTGTCTCCTCTGTTATGACATCCTCTACATCTTATATACACACACACATACACACAAGTAAATGTGTGGATACAAAGACTTAAGAATTAAATTAAGTTTGTAGCTGAGTGCTTTGCATTTATAACTCAATATACACTCCCCGATGCACTTGGTCGAAATGCATTATTAACGTGTGTTGCTATCTGTGGGAGTCGGCGTAGGTGTGTGTCCAAGTGTGCAGTATATTAGCTTAAACACCTCATTTGTATTCTGCTACCTAACATCCATAGCAGAAAACAGAAGAGCAAGCAGTATCTTGTGAGACCAAACAGCTGTATTTGTAACTTTTCGCCCTTTAACTATCACACTCATCATTTTTATCTCTATTTCTGACTGGTAGTTATGAGCAAAGAACCATTTAAAAAACTTTCTTCAATGATGAATTCATAGATGCTCCTGAAGAGGATCTCACTGATAAGCCATGTTTTTTGAGAAATTAAAAAAACAACCCAACAAAAAGCAAAAAAAAGTTTCTTGCCACTTAAATTACTTTACAATTTCAAACTAGTACACTAATATAATGTTCATGAGATTTGACTTAAATAATGACCTTACTTTGAAGCATTTCAAAATATTTCAAATGTAGCTTATCATTTCTGTCACCAATTTTGGTTGACTTCGACATAGCCTACCATATCCATGTTTTCTTTATCATACTGTATCTTTTCTTAGAGTAACACACCTTTGCCTTTGTTTGCAAGAGTGTGTTTATGAGTGCATTTCCTCCCAAGCCTCATTGTACTATGATGAAGGTCAGATTATGCTCAAGCAGACCTAGTTTGTACGATGTGTTTGGAAATCAAAACGTATCCAAACAAGCAGTTTGAGTATAAAAACGACGTCAGCCACAGAAATGGTAACAGGCTGTTTTGTTAACACCTAAGTCAACCACAGAGTAAACACTGTGTCAAGCAAATTGTGGTGTAGTCATCAAACTGGAGGCCTGAGAGCACAACTGTATATCATCATGAGAAGGAAGAACTGTGGATAAAAACTGTGCCCAGCAATATAAAGGAGCAGACATCTAGGACAGAAACATATGGCAAAACTCTAACTCTGGCTCTGTGATACAATGAAGTCCCCTCCTGCTGTTTTTCTGAGGGTAACGGCAGCAGATCCGGGAGAACGGGCGAGGGTGGGGGTGTGGGGGGGCTTTAAGCAATATGGAGCCAATCTGTCCACTGGATACCGAGCTCAAAGCTGAAGATGGTTTTAAAACGGGCCATAAGAGATACTTCATAAGAAAGACGGGGGGATTTGGATTAGCGGGAGGTGGGACTATGTAGCATGTGAGAGATCTTGACAATCCTAGTGATGAAGGTAAACACACGCTGGGATTAGCCGTTAGCGATAGCCCTCATTTCTGTGCCCAATCCCACAGCTGCCTAACACTGCTAGTGTCAGAAGCACTGCCAGTTTGTTTCTGTGTATGTGAAAGCGACAGTGTGTGTGTTTGCCTGTATGCGTGTGTTTGTGTGTACTTGCATGTGTATGTGGTAAGAACTGGAAGAGGTGCCAGCTAGATGTTGGGGTTCAAACAGATGGGAGACAGGCATCTGGACAGCTGGCATTCACTGCCTTTCACAAACCCTTTACACCAACCACCTCTCCTCCATATCCCCATTCTGTCATTCTTGCGTTTGCACTGTTTGTTTTCTTTTCTTTTCACAGCCTTAAGCCTGGCTGGGAGATCTAAAATAACAAAAGTAGTTATAAAAGAACTTATTTGCGCGTGGGATTTTATGCGCAAACAGATTGGAAGGCGGGTTGAAAGGAACAAGAAAATTAGGCACATTTTACGGGTTTTAAGTCTCGCACAAAAGCAGGTCAAAGTTCTCGATTCATCTACATCAGTGCATGTGTTTGTGTCTGTGTGTGTATCAGTGCATGTAATATGAACACTAGACCAGCAAATTTAACTGGGTCAGGCATCTCTATTTGATGAGCAGGAAGAGCACTTTTCCAGTTAATGCCAGTCTTCCTTTTGCTTACTCTTCCCCTCTCTGTCTCACTTCCAGTCTCGCTTGTCAGATTCGAGTCAGTGTAGCATTTTATATTGGAGCATTTTACAAAATCATCTATTCACTTGCATTTATGGATCCAAGGTACTTGTGATTGCTTTGGCATTGCTATACTTACACTAAATTCTACTTGGCAGCCCCTCAAGGATTTTGAGTTTCAGTGATTGCTGTGACCGCAAAACCTGCCTCATTTTGTGAAAGAAAATGCATGGCGCGCTGCCACGTTCTCAGAGTTAATTTGAAGTAAAAACAAGAGCGCTGACAAAATTAGTTAATTAAACTAACAAAAAAAAAGTTATTAAGACAATTTTGTTGTTGACAGATGCTTTCTTCAGAGTATTCATGACAATGGCACAGCGATGAATGTGTGTTTTTTCTACCATATGTTAAAAAAAAAAACATTAAAATGAAAACCTCTGATACATAAATATGTAACAGCCTTTTTTTCCCCTTCTAATAGCGTAACTGTAAAACTTCTCCTTCCCTGCAGGGCTGACTGTGATAATTCTACTTGTCCAGATCAGGGGGGCGAATGAGAGCAGATGTCAGGAAGCATCATGCTGGAAGCAATATCCTGTCCTCCTCTGCCATCCTATATGTCATCTCTTTTTTTCCCTTCCCACCTGCAACTTTGTCATTTTAAAAACCATCAAGATCTAATACCTAAGATTCCTTATCAAAGGTGCCAGCCTTTGATGTCGTCTGACCGATTTAAAAAAGAAAAAGAATCGTGTATGCCCCTCCCTTTCTCCTATTTCTTTGTGTCTCTTCATTGGTTTTTAAATCTTTTCTCCACTGTTTGTCTTTTCTTCATTACTTTTGTAATAGCATTTGGCAAAGTAATAAACGGATATGGAATGAGCTCAGTTCCATTGACTTAAGTGGCAAATATGGATCATACTTAATTAGGTCTAAAGATTAACTCTAAGTAGGACTGCACAGTAAATTGCAGGCTGCTGAGCCAAAAACCCTCAGTGAAGTCTAAATTTTGCTCATTTTGTGTAATTCCTTTTTTTGTTTTGTTTTCAATTTTAGGTCATTGCCAGACCAAAGTGATCATCAGCACATGAAGAGAAACACTTTAGCCTTGACATTTACACTCTTCATTTCAAACGTATCATACTATTATCCATTATAGTACATTCTGCGGTGCAGTGAAGTAATGCATAAAATAACTACCTTCTGGCTGGATAAGATGTTAAAACATGCTTCCTGTTCTGTCCTAAAGGCGAAATAGCACTTTATGGTTTATAAGACCACATGAAAGTTGTAATTATTTGACTTCCCAAATCAAACAAAGTTACGAAATTCAAAAAATTGCCCTGTTATTAATTTCCGGGAGTACAAGGGATGGATTGTTGTAATATAAAATAGGCTAAATGCAGGGGATCTCCTCCGACAATTTGCACATAACACAGAAAGGTTCTGAGTTGATATGAGGTAACTGTACTTTTTACTGAGCCACTATACACTTGCTCTAGATACATAAAAATGTTAAATATGTGCAAAGAGATTTTTGTCTTGGCTTCTAAGTTCACGTGTTCACATGAATGTGTGCCCTCTCAACTTAGATGGCACCGCTTTAGAAAGCACCATGGGAAGGAAAAGAGTGAGAATGAGTTGAACAAGAGGTTTAGGGAGGAATACAAATAGGCCAGAGATAGTGATCAATGACTCGGCCGAGGAGGGGGTGAGGAGGAAGGTGAGTGGAGGGGGAGGAAAGGGAGAGAGGGGGGTGATAAAGAGGGATCTGAAGATGAGAATCGGACACCTCCCTAACGACCACTCTCCCAAGGCAGAAGAGAGGAGAAACCCGACACGCATGAATTAAAAAACACAAGCACCGGCACGAGCGGATCATTGATGGGAGTTTTTGACTGGCATCATCCCTCATTTTGAGAAATGTCAGCCACGGGGTGCCTCCCTGTGAATCATTTTAATAGAGGAAATACAGCTGTGTGTGTGAGTGTGTGTGCAGACAAGAGGGGGTGTAGGTATTGTTTGTCACCAGATGAACTCGTGGGGTGAGTCTAATGAAGAGTGCAGAGAGAAGGAGGGTGGCATTTTAATTGGCCTCCCTCTCTCTCTCTGTCTTCCTCCTCTCTCCTCTTCTCTCGGGGAGAGCAGGAGACTGAATGTTGGCTTTACAGAGGTAAGGAGGGATTTCTAACATTGGAACTGCAAATGCCTTGTCCTACTAATTGGTCAATAACACATCCTGTTACACACTTTGATGCGGTGTTACACATAAGCTTTTCTTGATTTACAGGATTTACATTTTCACATAGTTTGTGCGTCGTTCATAATTATTCGTTGGGATATGCTATTTAAATGTAAGAAAAATATTTTTGCGGTGCCAGAACACTTAGAATAATATTTAGAACATTTACGATAGCAGATTTAGAGATGTCTCGATGAACCTATCAAACGCTCCAGATGTCGATTTTCAGGATAAACCTTGTCTGTAATGTCATCGTCATGTCATGTCAGTCTGGTCTGACCAGAATTTAACCCATGACAGTTTACCTGTTCTACTCCATAAAGCTATCGTCAGAGCCAAACAGTTTTGCACAGGTTCAATTGTACCTTGAGGAAACATCTCTCTTTCCTGATTTAATAATTCCTTGAATTCCACAAGCATTCTTCTTTTTAATGACATGAGGAGACATCCTTTCAGCGGACACCTTCACCTCAGATGTATGTTAGATTTATATTTGCCATACGGTCATCTAATATGAGTCATCCTTTCAGCAGCTTTTCACTGACATTTTGCTGGAAGGGAAAGACTCCTGAAAACTAAACTTTACTAATCAAACAACCCCTGCATCACAACAAAGATGAGAGACGTTAAGAAAAGGTAACAGTAAAATAAACTGGTTGATGCACATGATTATGAATATACATGGCTTACCCGTGCATACACACTCGTCACTTAAAATAAGCCTTGTTCCAACTGGAATTTGACAACTCTACCTGAGGCTCTTCATCTCTAAGAGGAGGGCTGCTACAAATCACCATATTCCTGCTCCTGCACCTCCCCTCCTCCGCTTCCTCATTTCCCTTCAGCATTTTGTTTCTCAGAAATCGCTAAGTTAGCTGCTAGCTCTTCCCCTCGGCGCCACACTTCACCTTCCCCTCCCTTCCTCTCTCTCTCCAACTCTTTTTCTTCTTGTTTTTTTTATTATTCTAGTTCTTCCTCTCTGTGATTACCAACCATCCTGAAGGAGAAAGTAGAGTAGAAATATGGAAAGAGTGTGGGCCTTTCAAGTGGCATCACCCTCTCTTTTTCCTGCCCCTCTCTCTATCTATCTCTCCATCTCTCTCTCTCCACTGCTTCCTCCATCCACATCTCCCTGCCCCTCTGTTATGGCACTGGTTCATCCTCATGTATATTTATGCTACAAAGCTGAAGAGTCAGGCAGACTTGAAATGAAAACTCCAACGAGAGAGCGCTTGTGTGCTCATTTTGGGAATCTGTACGTGCACGGGTGTGTGCGCAAAGTGTGTGTGACTGTGTGTGAATATGCACTCCTTTATCCTTTTTGGATACAAGCTTCTTTTTTATATTCAAGGGTGGAATTCCTCTCCACTTGACCACCCACTGCACTTCTGTTTTCTCAGCCTCCCCCCATTCCTCTCATCTCCCCGAGTTTCAGCCACAGACAGGTGGCTCCTCTTTTTCTTTTTTCTCTTTTTTTTCCCATTGTCTGATGAGACAGGTGTCAGCCACTGGCAGAAAGTGACATTCTAATCTAAAGTACTGATTCAGAAAAACACACACAGACGCACAGTTTCCCGTCATGTGTATCCTGTGACTGCAGTGAGACAGGCAGACACCTCTGGTCTTAGCTCGTGCACATCACCGCAGAGCAGCATAAATCTCACCTGTCTTGCAGACACGCTCCCACACATGGAAACCCACCAAACACAATTTGTTTCCCTTGAATGGCCCTTTACTGGTGAGGTCGCAGTGGGAGAATGTGACCACAGATTTCAAACAAAATTCCTTGTGCGGTACCATTTTATTCCTCCCTCCAGCAAACCTGAGATGTTTCTTTTCATCTCATAGAAATACTATAATACCACATAAATTAGTGGTTTATATACATACGAGTGTGTGCACATACTGTATTTCTGTATGTATTACATAAATACATGCATGGAGGTGCACGTCGGTCTTTATGTGGGGGGGTGTGTGTGTGTCTGTGTGTGTGTGTGGGTGTGTGTGTGTGTGTGTGTGTGTGTGTGTGTGTGTGTGTTTGCTCATGCAAGCGTGTGTGTTGAAACAATAGATGTCTTGAGAGGCGGGCTGCACGGCTGACTCTCCTTTAGTTTCCCTAAGAGGAGGAACGTGGGAAAAGAGGAATAAGTGCCATTCATCTTTTCACTGGCTCATTCACTACCTCTCTTTCTCTCTCTCACCCCTCCTCTTTCTCTCTTTCACTTCACTTCTTTGTTCACTTAAATGGCCTCTTTACTTCTGGCTAAACCTCTATTTGAGATAAATACCCTCTCGCTATACCCCAACACATATGCACTTGGTACACAACACACAGAGACATTGCACACAGACACGCATGAGCTTTCCCAAGTACCCCCTCGATGCACCCGTGCCTGAGCTAACAACCTTTGAAACACACTCCTGGTAAAATCTTTTGCTGCAGACTTACAGTGCAATAAGTACACACCCCTTATCTCTTCACCACTGCACTGCCATCAGTTACTGTTTTTTTTAGAAGTTGATAAGAGAATGAAAAATCTAATCCAACACCACTGACCCAACATGAATTCATTCCCTCTATTGCACTCTGTCTCTCTCTAATGCACATTATCACACACCCATCGCCTCCAATACCTTCACATCCTTGGCATTCATGCGTGTCCCTTCCTTCCCGACGAAAATGTCATCTATATCCACCAGTATGTGCCGGTCCAGGCCCAACGTAAGCTTCCTGTCCGTGAGGTAGGATATGGCATCCACCAGGATGAGTCTGTGGAGCCAGTAGCCCAGCCCCTGGCCAAACAGTACCCTCCTCACTCCATCGTACAGTCCCATATCCTGTACCACAGTGGCTTGGAGGCCTGAACTGAAGCCAGGCCCTGGATTATCACCACTACCTGCCCCTGCTCCATCCTTGGCCCGTGCATGCAGCACAGCCTGGTACGTGGAGTGATTGGAGGAGAAGGAGGTCCAGTCCTCCCCAGGTAAAGCCCCTCGATCTGTGCCGGGCTTGGTAAGGTGGAGAAGGGGAGAGCTAGATACCACGCAGCAGTCCCAAAGGGCCTGGTTGGTCCTTAACACCAGCGGGAGGCCTCTGAGTTTGAGAAGAGGTGGGGAGTTCTCGGTGGAGCGGTAGAAACCTATGATGCCCACTCTGTACTCAGTACAGTATTGATGCAACAGCTGTCTGTTCCATGTGTCTGCATGTGCATACTTTAACAGATTCTCATAAATGATTAGAGAGTATCGTCCACGGCCCTTTTCTGTCAGCGGTGGAAGGTCGCCCTTCCCTGAGGCAATCTCCATGCGGAACTGGAAGTGTGCTGACTCCAATATAGCCACAATGTCCTGACCCAGCTGCGAGTATTGGGACTCCACCAGCACCAGCACCACTGGATCAGTGTGGACATGTGTGTGAGGGGGGTTCGGTGGGTACGGGTATGGGAGTTGGCGGTACGGAGACATGGAGAGCGGCTGGGAGCAGGCAGGTTCAGGAGATTGTCCAAGCTGCATGGAAGGGGAGGAGTTGGTAAAGAGGAAGTATGCAGAGAGAAGGAGGGAGAGGAGACAGCAGGAGGCCAGCAGGAGCAGGAGCCTACGTAAGTGGCGACGGAATCGCACCGCCACCGTCATTGCAAGCCGGGGAGGTGTTGTGCGTAGCAGGAGGAGATGTCTTTTTTTGTTTGCTGGGGGCTTGAGAGTGTCTGCACGAGCTTTGGTGTTTGACAAGCCCAAGAGATTGTCTGTGTGTGTGGGAGAAAGGAGCGAAGCCACTCAGGGGTGCGTCATGTCACCATGGCAGATGGAGAGGGGAGCTGCGCCGGATGATGGGGAACAAAGGTCTTCATTGAGGAAATGCAGTCAACGTACTCTTCTTCCAAACCTCATGGAGGTATCACGCGCAGATATGGGGCGAGTGATGATTAATGTCTGCAGAGAAAGGGGACAAGGAGAAAAAGAAGGAAGAGTGAATCTGTTGGGCAAGGTTGAATAGTATGCATTAGTTCTCTAGCTGCATGCTCACGGGTGTGTGTGTATGTGTGTGTGTACCTAGGTTGTGCCACCCTGGGGAATGTGAGGGCACAGCTGGTAACTACAGAGCTGATTGAAAACAACTTACATCCTTAGGGCTTATCCAACCTCTGGCACACACACACACACAAAGTGACATCACAGTTAAAAGCACAAACACAGCTCAAAAGTCAATCCTCACAAATAAACAACAGCTGGTTGTGCGTTAATATGGCAGTGAGGAGAGGTGGATGGGACCTCAACTAATCAGTCCTATAAAGCTCTACAGAGAATTCCTCTAATTGCGCCATACTCTGTGCACTTCTGTCCTATTTCTGAACCTAATCATCTGAAATACCACAAAATTAGAGTTGGAATCCTTTTGCCAGGAGCACTAATCTGGGGGGAGCCCATGACAGAACAGAGGAAATGGCGAGCGAGAGAAAAGTCAGAGAGAAAGAGCAGAGAGAGGAACAAAATGCAATGAATTATAGAAAGAGACAAAAAAGACCAGGATTAGCATCTTAATGTATGTGCCGGGAGCCAGGGAGAAGAAAAGATCCCACAGCATCTTTTTCTCTCTCTTTTCTCTCTCCGCCTCACTCTCCCCTTCTCTCTCTCTCTCTCTCTTTCTTTCTCTGTCTATCTACACCCCCTCTTTCTCTGCTTCTGTCTGTTTGAATATCAATAGTCTTTCCTCACGTTCCTTCTCTCCTTGTTCCTTGCCTTTAGAGAACACACGCGAAGAGAAGGTCATGGAGAAGAGACTCCAGTCACATTCTTTAAATATGATACCAGAAAATGAAAAAGAGGAGGACGATAACTCTGAACTAACTTTCTACCTATTCCAATGCAGTTGTATTCATTGCTTTTATGAAATGTGTGTCATCCTAATTGGGAATTCTGGAAGAATACTGACTGTTAAATAGCTTAGTTGGGGTTTTATTAGTTTTATTAGACACCATAAAGATGTGGAGGAAATTGTCTCATGTGCCACTTACTCAGTCATAAAAAGGGGTTTTTCAAACTAGTGTTTTGATATTCAAAGTATAGGGAAAGCACTAAATCTGTGTCTCAACTGTAGGTGAGAGCTGGTTGAACCTCTTACTATAGGTATGCATGTGTCTCACTAGGAGCCACAGGAGGGCGCTGGAATTGGATTGACACAAGAGACTTCACATGGAAGTTTTAGCCTGTTATTTGAATAACTATAATTCCCAATGGTATTATAAATCATGTGATATGAAGAAAAAAAAACCTCAAGATGCATTTCCTCCAAGTCCTGTCTCATGCAGTAGGCTATTTTGTGAAATGCTACATGAAAAAGTTACTGAAACATTTTAAAATTCACATTTAAACTGAAAAGTAGGCCTAAATATGTAAAACCAGTATATTGTCATTTTAATGTTTCATCATAATAACCTAAATGTTATTTATAATTGCAACAGTTTCTGGGAGCCACAGAAAGCATGCAATTTTAAATAGCCTATATTAGATTAACAATGAAGTCCAGTGTGTTAAACAGGATAAACCGTGAAAACTGGAGGAAAACTCAAAAGCGGTAGGCTAATAAATCCAGTCTGCTATTCTGTTTGTGTCGTTAAATCTCCGGTGAAAATGTAATTAAAAAGAAAGCAACCCGCAGCATAAACATCCCTGGCTGACTCCAAACAGGCAGAGAGATGAGCTCAAACTAACAGCAGATAAATCCGGAGAGTTTCCCCAATCCTGCCTCCTGCCGCTGAAGTTTACCTTAAGAATTAAAAGCACACCGACTCGCCCACTTACCTCTAGCCGAGGCTGAGGCGCTGCCGAGCGGGGAGGAGGCGTGACGGGAGAGCGGCGAATATGATGCTGCTTCGGGTGGGTCCGGGGCTGAGGTCTCGGTGGCGCACCACTCCCGTGTGTTTTGGATGCTGAAGCGTTGTGCCATCTCCCCTCTCCCTCTCCCTCTCCCCCTCTCTCTCTCTCTCTCTCTCTCTCTCTCTCTCTCTCCCCCTTCACTAGATCAGCAGGGGCGGCCAGGCGGAATGATCCGCTCTCCTCCCCCCTTTCATCATTCTTCTATTTCTCTTACTCTCGTCTCCCCCACTGTCTTCTCCTCTCTCCCGCTATGCCCACTTGTCCCTTTATCTGTGCTCTTTAAAGGTGGAGATTAGGCGGCGGAGTGGACGACGGAGCGCCGATATCGGGGTGCCCGTTAACGACTGACTGCCGTGCGTAAATGCTCCGGTTTAAGAGTGCCTACACAAGTGGAGGCGATCGAGGGAGAGAGAAAGAAAGAGAGAGAGAGAGAGAGAGATAGAGAGAGGGAGGGTGTGTGTGTGTGTGTGTGTCTGAGAGAGAGAGAGAGAGAGAGAGAGAGAGAGAGAGAGAGAGAGAGGAGAAAGAAGGGGAGGGGTCTCGGTTTGATTGACACAAACAGCCTTTTTCTCGGGCATCAGCGATCACGGGCCCGTTAAAAGCTCACGGCCCGTTAGTTGGTGTTAGTCGGATAAGGGATGTCACAGACGGATACGCACCGATGCAAGTTAATGGCGCGCCTTGCTGATTCTCTCTTGCTCCTTGCACAAGTTGTTGTACTCAAGGATAAAAAGAGGGAAAGGAAGGAAAAGAAGGTGGACTATCTGATCTGTAGCTTGTGTAAAAACAAAACAAAAAAAAACACATTTTCATACAATCAGGGATGGCATCAGCCTTGAGAATGACTAGAGCACATTTTTTGACATTCACTATTGAAAACACACTGGTGCATGCATGTTGATCAGGCACACACATATATGAGTCAGCCCCATTATGCCCACTTGTGTAGAGTGTCAGTCAAGCAGGCACAGCATGTCAATCATAGAGTGCTTTTAACTTGATTAGGTGTTCCTTTTCCCCTTCCTACTAGTTCATCAATCTCCCTAACCTATTTGCACTGACACACACTCACTCACACACATCTCAATGGAGCTGGTGGGCCCCTCATTCACATTGTAATGGCCTTACAATAGAGCTTATTTAGTGTGTGTGCATGTGGTGCGTGTGGTTGTGTTTGAGAGAGAACGCAAGCCAGAAGTGTGAGGAAAATGTATGAACCCGAGAGAAAAGACAGACACGCAGTTGTGCTCTCAGTTCACAGAGGGTGTTGTCGAGACCGTGTGCAACTTTAAGCTCACATAGGCCCCGAGCAAAAACACACACAAAATGTATGCACACAGACACACAATGGAGAAAGAACTCATTTTCATACTGGTACTTTCGTTTTAGTTACTTAGTTTGAGAAATTTCGACATTCTTTGGTCATATTCTCACTGGAAACGTCCCCATTTGTGACTCTCAGTTAGTGTAATGACTAAGCAGTGGTGCCGAGAAACAGAGCTTGAATGAAATATAACAGCCAGAATATCATGCCCTACAGAATGGAATCCAGAGATAATGAAGGTTTGGATTGGAGTGCGATTGTGTTTGTATGTAAATTAGTGTCAGTGGGTGAAGTGTAATTAGAGAGGCTGTTCACCCATTTCCTCCACATTACAAGCTAAGAACCTCTTCTGCTATGGTGCTAGTTGGAGACAATAACCCAGAAATGAAAACTAGACAGCCGTGCATAGGCTACAGTGTAGGCTACAATGTGTAATGTGTGTGTGTGTGTGTGTTTCCATGCATGCGTGTGTGTTAAAGCTAAAGATAATTACTGAGACGCTCATCGCCGCAAACAGAACAACAGCTCCTGAGAAAGCGGAGAAAGTGTACACACACACACACACACACACACACATGTCAGTGTACACTCACTCTGACACACACACATACAGCATGTACTGACACACAGGCTGTGGTGCAAGTACACAAAGCACAAACATTGGCAAGCAAGTGCAGAGACACATGCAATCCTGTGGTACACACAACAAGGATGCAGTCACTCACACACACATGTGAGAGCACACTCAACAAAGGACTGGAGATGTGAAAAGTGTCAGAGCTGCCATGTTCAACTAGCACTCTGACTGTTAAACAGAGGAGAGCAAGAGACAAATGAGAGAGAGTAAGAGAGAGACAGAGAGCGGGAGAGGGAGAATGCTTGTTGTCTTCATCAGAGGCTTTTGTTAAGTGAGAGATAAGAGAGGAGGAGCGACCGATTCCCCCTCTTCTCTCTCCCTGCTGAGAGCTAAATGGTGGCTGTGTGAGTCTCTAGTCCTGTGCGAGGCCTGAAGAGAGCAAATGGAGCTCGAGTGTAAAAACAGGAAAAGACATTATCATCACGATGCATCACATCATCCCAGGAGTCAGGGCAGGCAGTGCAACATTCACACTATACCCTCCTCTTAATTAAAAACAAAACAAAACACTGGGCAGATTGTTGCACACTCACACTGAACACATACTAGACCCTGAGCCCTGGCACTAATAATGATACTCTCCTTTTCCTGGCTGTTTCCACAAAGCACAGGATCTACTGCTCAAACTAGCAGCTCTCTGAGATGTATCAGCTCATTGCCTCCCACAGTGTAAACAACAACATGCTCGAGCTTTGCTAAGGTGTGTTGGCTGCTTGATGCTGTTGCTATTTTAATGATTCCTGCTCTTTCTTCTGTGCACGTGCACGCGCGTGTGAGATCGAACCACCTACCCGCTTCTGAACCCCATGCCTGGAAATGTTGATAGATAGATGTTCTCTTAAGAGCTTGGAGGCTAAGTGAAAGCTGCCCCCCCTCCTCCCACCTCCCCTCCACGCCACCCTCGTGACCCCTCCCACTCTCATCCCCAAGCACATTAGAGGAAATATCTTTTGGCCAATCAATACAGCGCTTACAGATTGATAAGGCAAAGATACACATGCATGACAGCACACACACACGCGCACACACACACGCACGCACACACACACACACACACACACACACAAACACAGGCAGAGATTTTCTTCTTCCATCTTTGAGTCTAGTGTATAGAATAACCAGACCAAAATCAATCTATTACTGGAATGCTGCCAGTTGCAGGATTACCATAGCAACATACACCAGAAAACTATACTCTGCAATGAATAATATCAAATGTAGAATATTCTTTATTTAACAGTCCCAGATAAACTGCTAATTTTACTCTGATCCATCCCTCAGCATAACATGATACTCCTATGGCCGACTCATATACATTGCTTTGATATAAGAAAAAGGGCAACCGAAAAAAAATAGTATGTATCTGTGTGTGTATGCGTGTGTATGACTGTGTAAATACAGTATATAGAACTCCATGAGAAACAATTTCCAAACAAACATTCTTATTGCCTCTAAAATCTCCACTTTCATACAAAATGTTCTTACACAACGTGTGAAGCATCAGGAGTATTTAGGCCAGAATTGCAACTGTATTACAAAACAGTTAGTGGTCAGGAAAAAAAAAAAGTATCTACAGTTCAAACATACGTGAGTAGGATCGTAGCGTAGTGGTGTGTTTTGGTACGTGTGTGTTGTTCTGTGTGACTCATTGAAAGACAGGATGTGGTTCGCCAGTAAGAACATAGTTTTTGACATATTCAGGAACAATATTGCCTCCACACAAACAGAAACACACATAAATGCGCACACATACCCACAAGATCATGCTTAACGCCCACACATCTCTGTAAACAACCCAACACTCCCACACTTTTACAAGCCACAAACACTAGCAGGCTTGTTAGAGTGACAGAGTGCACCTTCATTTCATATCATATTAACACTATATCTCAGCACTGATTGCAAGTGATGCTTCTGACAGGCGAAAATGCACCATGCATGGAGAGGCTAAATGTATGCAAGAGTGTTTAAGCAAACAAACATGAGCCCGCTTGTGCTGGGTGCTATCAGCATCGTGTGGTCATATGAGGATTTAGAAAATAGAAAATAGGAATGAGTGGGGAGAGAGAGGACGGGGGAGGATGTCAGAAAGCACAACAGTGATCAGATCGCACAGCACTCAAGGGAGGGAGGGGTAAAGTGATCTGTCTCTGTCTCTCTCTGACCTTGTTCACTCTCGCCAAAAACCTGACTTACAACCCCAAACTAAATATGATACCTTCTCACTCTGTCCCCCCCACCCCCCCACCCCCTCTCTCTGGTAATAAATCGCGCTGTAATTACCAGGCAGGATCGATAACAGTCACATCACTCCTCTCCTCTGCTCGTCTCCCTCGTCTGCAACTGACACTAACGTGTTCATCCCTCGCTGTGTGCAACTGTTATAGATCTGTGAGTGATAGATCACATCCCGTTGCATCTGTACACAAACTAACACACATGCAAAACACAGGCGCACCCTCAAAAACTGCACACACAGAGGGATGAACCCATGCAAACACAGGGTAGGATAGGAAAACGGACACTCACGGCCACAAGTATGAGAGCTGGATGCCACGCGGGGGGGAAGAGGCCATAGGTCTCAGTTGCTATTGGAGACGTCTCTTCAGCTGAGCAACCAACAAAGAGTTACCGTTCTCTCCCAGAATAGCTCACTCGGCCCCCTGTCTAATGAAATGGAGGACAAGGATGAGCATCACATGGGCAGTCACGCAGTGTGAACTTGGTGAGTTTGCCTTTGACAGAGAGAGACGGTGCATAGGCTGTGTGTGTGTGTGTGTGTGTGTGTGTGTGTGTGTGTGTGTGTGTGCGTGTGCATAGTGTGTGTTTGAGCAGGTGTGTCTGCGCACGTGCATGGGTGTGGTTTCCGAGCCTAATCATGCGAGAGTAGTGATGTTTAATAGGAAATTAAAAATATTCTGGAGAGCAAGGGCAATTTGAAAACCCCGGAATTGCTGACTTGTAATATTCACTTACAGCCGCACTTCCATGGACATTTGATGGGTGTGAGTGTGTGTGTGTCTGTGTGTGTGTGAGAGAGAGAGGAGTGCGTTCATC